TCTGTGCTCACATCTGGCCTTGCTGCTGCTCCCACCTCACTTCTCTCTCCCCCTTCCCTGGATGCAGAAATCAAGGAAGATTCTGGAGCCCGAGGAACCAGTATGCAGGCTTTTAGGTCAGGGCCAAGGATCTTCTTTCTGCCAGACAAAGCCCCATTTCTAAAGCAATCAGGGACACTCAGCCCACAGGTTTACAGTGAAGCCGAGACACGTGAACCGTGCACTGAACTTCTCAGCAGCAAACTGAGGTTAGCCATGTATACCAGAGGTAACCGAGGAGGCCCTGGTTGCTTGTTTTAATTGTGGAAGATGCCTTTCACACATATTCAATTCTCCCTGCGATTTATCACTTCTCCAGGTGCCTGAAGTGTTCTACTTCATTTCGCAAGCCCTGCATCTCCAAGGAGACTCTGCAGAAATTGAAGATGACATTGACATTGGTCTTTTCTGTCTTCCTGATCCAGGAAAGGCAGCTGGGCTTCCCATAAACGTCAAAGCTCTGCTATTCCTGCTCCTCCACAGTGGGACACACAGTGCACACTGACAATCTAAGCCATCTACAAATGAAGTAAGCCTTTTCAGCTCCACGACCCCATGATTCCTTAGAAATCCTCTGCTCTGTTGGAGGTTACGGGCATGAGAATGATGACTTGTTTGTGGGTTCTTGGATCAACTCCAGATCAGGAGACTGAAATAAGAATCCTGAGAGACTGACAGGATGGCCTGAAGGGTACCTGATCCATGATGCTCTCACGTCCAGAGTATGGTGGCTGAGCTAACTCACACCTGGCTACCACTGTCAGCAGCGCTATGGCTCTGAAGCCCAAACACTCAGACCTAAGGTGGCCTGCGTGCCCGCTCAGTTGGACTGCTGGTTTCACTCTGCAACTCAGGGCCCAGATGCCAGGAACATGTGTCTCTCCCTCTGAGAGTAAAATGAATCCTGGTTCCCCAGGGCAGCTTGCTGACTCAGATGCAAATGCCACACCAGTTGCACTGATCATCAGTCGGGAAAAGTGGAACATGAGAAAAGGAGTTAGAAAAGCCAATTTTGGCTCTAGAAGTTTTTCACATCCAACACCTAGTGCTCACCACCAGTACAGACTTCACTGGTAGTACAACCCATAATTCCTCCCTAATCACTGGTCCTCAAGTAGACGTTCCTTTCATACTGTTAAACCCTCACTGTGCACCAAGTGCCTCACGTGACTTCTCTCATTTAACCTCAGAACAATCCTGGGGGTTGGGGGAAGCTGATGAAGATGATGATATGATGGTGATGATTTGAGGCAGGGCCTCACTGTGTAGTCCTGCCTGGCCTGAAACTTGGTAGGTAGATCAGTTGGCCTTAGAGTCACAGAGATCTGCCTGCCTGGGATGAAAGGTGTGTGACACTATACCTGGCAGATTATTTTGATGATCTCAGTTGCTACTGGGATCTAACACAGGGCCTCATGGATGGTAGCAAGTGCTCTTCCACTGTCCCGTTTCTTTGAGACAGTGTCTTGCTTTTTGACTCAAACTGTCCTTGACTGCCTCAGTCTTTTAAGAAGCTGGTTTATAGGTGTGAGCCATTGCTAGGCTTCATTTATCTTTTACAGATAAGGATTCTATCTCGTAAAAAAACAAAAACTGAGGGCTAGAGAAATGGTTCAGTGGTTAAGAGTACTGGCTGCTCTTCTAAAGGATCAGGATTCAATTCCTGGCACCCACACAGTGACTCACAACCATCCATGTAACTCCAGTTCCAGAGGATCCGATGCCCTCTTCTGGACTCTGTGGTCACCAGGCACAAACATACTATAAAAGACATGCATGCAGGCAAAATATTTACACACATAAAAATTTAAAAAGGAATGCAAAAGTTATTGAGAAAGGACAAGAACCCCACCTTTCGACATTCTAAGTGTCAGGTCCAAAAGAAACTCAGAACAAATGGCTAACTGTGGTGTCTATCAGCACACCAAAGCACAAGCTGGCCTGCAGGAACACTCAAGGCTTGTGGCTCTTGTCAGTTTTTCTTACCCCACCTCTCTGTCTTACACATCTCTAGCTCATGGGCCTCCCTTCCCGCAGCTTCTGGCCATTTCAGCCGTGCCCTCTCTTGGCTCCTCTCATCTCCTTTGCTCACATTTTCTCTTCCTTCCTCTCTTGCTCTCCCCCCCAACTCCTCTCATGGCGCAGTCTAGTCTGCTGGCCATGTTCAGTATCCTACTTTCTCTCCCTGCTGTAGACTCTTCCAGATGCCCTGGGTGCACCCTCCCTCGTATCTCCAATAAAACCTCCTAGCCACACCTTAGGGCAGTTATGCCCTCACTTTATACACTGAGAATCCAAGCCCTTCAGTTAGCTTCTTGATGAGGCAAAATAGTGAAAGCAAGACCACCACCCTGGATTAGAATGAGAGACCTGTTCCTTGAAGAAACCTATGACCACAACTCATGAAAACAGAACAAAAGCCAACGTTGGCTAGTTTGGACACAGGCCCTCAGACTGAAAACTCTCCAAGTCACCATCAGTCTTAACATCTCTGTGGTGGTTTGAATAGGAATAGCTCCCATAGGCTCGTATATTTGGATGTCTGGTTACTAGGGAAAGGCACCACTTGACAGGGATTAGGTATGGCTTTTTTGGAGGAAGCGCAGCCTTGTTGAAGGAAGTGTACCACTGAAGTTGGGCTTTGGGGTTTCAGGTGCTCAAGCCAGACCCAGTGTCTCTCTCTTCCTATTGGCTGCTGAGATGTAGAGCTCTCGGGTACCTCTCCAGCACCATGTCGGCCTGTGTGCTTCCATGCCTCTGCCATGATGATAATAGACTTAACTATACCTCTGAAGGTAAAAGCCAGCTCCAATTAAATGCTTTCTAAGAGCTGCCATGGTTATGGCATCTCTTCACAGCCACAGAAATCCTGACTAAGACAGTCTCTCACCCCCAGTGTCAAAATTGAGCTCTTCCCTTGATACGTAGGTACTCACACTTCCAAAGCCAGAAGGCTCACTTTTTGCTGCTAGGCTAGCATAGGCTAGCATTGACTTGTGAGCCACTCTGCACAGGCAGGTGCCTGTCAACCATGACCCCTGGCTACTAGCCATAGGGACTGCCAATATCTAGTGAATGAAACATTCCTCCAACTTCCTGTACAGCAAAACCCACCATTACTTGGTCTAGACTTGCTGAAAGAACTTACATCATATTAAAAGCCAAGTTCTTGCTTTTAGTAGCCCCTGGCTAATCAGAATTCTTAATTAAATAGAACCTAGCAACCTGTTTTGAAAACAACTTCACATTTAGACATTCATATGAATGAATAAAGAATGAACGAACAAATGAACAAACGAACAAACATTTCCATATACAGTCACTGCTTGATGACTGGGTCATTCTGTGACAAATGTGCCATTAGATGATCTTATCACTAAGGGAAAACCATAGAATGTGCTTTTTACACAGACTAAAATGGTTGTAACGCCACTGGACAATACAAACTTAGAGAATCACCACTGTGTACTCAGCAGTCATCAGCCAAATGTCATTATAGGGCCATGGGTATATGTTTAAAAATAATACAAAGCTGACTAAAAAGAAAACTTCTCTTGTTTAAAACAACTCAGTGAGAACTGATGAGCAAAATTAGGACCCTGGAGAATGTAAATATTCTATATCACACACAAAAAAGATGACCCCACATTCACATGAAGCTGCCTAATTTGATGCAGGGAACATCTGATGCACTAGGTCAAACAAGTCAGGATTTTCTGCTTGCTCTGTGTTAACCAGAGTTCGTGAACCAACCACAGATCCATTAGGGTACCCGATGCCCTGGGGCCACCACTTGGGCAGTGTCACCCTGCATGGTGTCAGGGTAACACCACCAAAGTGGGCACGAAGCTGGAAAACAGGAGTCCCGTCAGTGTCAGGCTCACGTGACTCTCAGGTTAGTGTTCATGCCATGGGTTCCTGGGATCTCTGAAAGCTCTCATTCACCTCATGAAAGATCTGCCTGGGACTTTAATAGCTAACCCCTTTTGCTGGGACAGTGAGCAAATACCAATCTCCTGGGCAGAAAGTTGAGTTTCTTTGACTTGACTAAGTGAGGATGCTAAGGGACTCAGCCTACACTCCTGTCAGAAAGTGTCAGGCACAGTGGCATGGGGATGACTGGGGATTAGGCGATAACAGAGGTAGGGTGACATTTTAATACTGGGCACAATAAATTCCTTCTACTGTCTACGCATGTTGAAAGAATCATCTGCAATGCTTTAATTAATTGACTCAACACATATGTTGCTTGCTCATCTCGGGGGTATCTGCAATGGGGCTGTTGCAGATGAGATTGTTCATGCACAGCTCTCTCCATGCTATGGGAAGGAGGGGGTGGGGTGGAAACCAAAGTGGCCGTTAGAGCACCCATGGGACAGCCAGCTCACGGCAACCGGCTCACCGATGCACCAGTACTCGGGGTTTGCTGCCCTGGGGAAGAAAAGGAGTGTCCAGAGAATGAGAGGAAAACGAGAACGAGTGCCCCACACCCGAAGCCACCAGCGGTGATAGGTCTGCAGAGTGCACACCACAGGGAAGGAGTGATCTCATACAGAGCCACCAGTCTAAGATTCAGAATGGACCCCATTTCCATGCTCGAGTTATCTGCCAAGGGAGTACACCACCAAGAAGACAAAGGACTTGGAGACAGATCTGACTGGACAGGAAGCCATGACCTTCCGCAGCCCAACAGTGACACGAGATAGACAAAGCACGGGTCCTGCAGCCCATGACATGCTCTTCAGAGTGAGGCAGCCTTCTGGGCCCTGGAGGTTGGTCTGGGCCCCCAGGGTAGACACCTGCTCTCACCCTTAAAGCATGCTGTGGCCAGGCCCCAGGCTTCACCTGCCCTCGAGAGGGCTCTGTGTGGCCTGAGGACAGAGACAGGCAAGCTCATGCATGGGTTAGTATCACACACGGCAGGACCATCACCACAGACAGAATACCTGGGAATAACCTACTTTGAGGACTCAAATGCAGATAGGTCTTCTGCCTTGGGCTTGAGGCTAAACCAGCAAAATAAAATGAAAAGACAAAGACATACCCTGTGAAATCAAAATGTCACACGTGTCATTTGCAAAATGCTCAGAAATCAAGACAAGTGACTTCATGTATTTTCATGGTTTGGACACTGGCCTCTCTGGTTTTCAGCACTCCAGAGAGAGCCCCGTTCACCACAGAGCAGCAGACAGGCTACTTGCTGCTCAGAGTAGCCAGATGACAAGGAGGCAGGGTGAGGGGTCTGAAGTTCCTCCCTCAGAGCTGTTTTGGCTTAAGGACAGAGGCCTCCACATATTGTTTTGTTTTGTTTTTGTTTTGAGACAGGGTTTCCTCTGTATAGCTTTGGAGCCTGTCCTAGAACTTACTCTATAGACTAGGCTCGAACTCACAGAGATCCAGCTCTCTCTGCTTCCACCACTGCCTGATGAGGCCTTCCTTTTATTCCCCTCACTTTATGAGACAGGGTCTTAAATAGCTCAGGCTGAACATAAATTTTCTATGTATCCAAAAATGACCTTCAATCTTCCTGCCTCCTCCTCCTGAGTTCTGTGGGCCACCATGCCTGGTTTTAACTCCCTTTGATGTTTAATAATTTTGTTTGAAAGGAGAAACCCAGAAAACAGCAGGAGCTGGAGGAAATAGGGTGTGGTGTGTGGCAATGCCTCCCCTGGTAGGTTATGATTCTGGGAGTAGTTCTCTACTTGGTGTCCACTGTAACATGTTAAGAAGTAGAGCTCTCGTATGTATGTATGTATGTATGTATGTATGTATGTATGTATGTATGTGCATGTATACACACACACACCAGTGATGGCAGGGAGATACGCGTTTCTCCAGATTTCCAGTGACAACTTAATCACTGAAAAAAAGAGATAGTCCTTAAACTTGAGACTGCTTTACTGACTGAAATAAAGAGTGAAACTTAACTATATCAGTTATCATTCAAACTCAAAGGAGACAGGGTCTTATCCTGTAGGCCAGGATGGCTTTGAACTTGCAATCTTCCTTCCATTCCCTCCCAACGCTAGGGTTACAACTGGATGCCACCACACCAATCACTTTATAACCCCTGTTTTACAGGGGCAATCAGTTAAAAGCAAAGCATTAACTTCCCAGAAAAACCTTTCTGCTTTGCCCAAATAAGAGATATGTACATTCTTGGGCTGAGTAACTTCTAAAGTGACAAGCACTCTAAATATCAGGAGAGACAGATGGAACTCTGAGCCTCATAAATGAAGTGTCATCTTCTTAAATATTAAGGCTCTCCTATATACTTCCTTTTAAGCATGAAAAAGTTGGAGACTTAGAACATAGTCTTACACAGAGATGAGGGACTCCATTCAACAGCCTTTAATTCATTGTGCTTTCTCATTAAGTAAAGCAGTTCCTTGGGCATTAGTTCCACTGGCTTTAAAGACAGAATCACTTTAGTGCTCAGTGATAGATCAAAACCCAGCCTCAAACAGGGACTCATCTCATTAGAGCTTTTAACTCAAGCTCCACTTCCATCAAGCCAATGGGTTCATGGTCATTGGCAGATTAAATTCTTTTTCTGTCAGGAGTTGAAAAATCCTCAACTAAGTACATGTTAAAAGAGAAAGAAAGAAAGAAAGAAAGAGAGAAAGAAAGAAAGGAAGGAAGGAAGGAAGGAAGGAAGGAAGGAAGGAAGGAAGGAAGGAAGAAAGAAGGCAACAGTCTAATGACTGGGCTCCTGAGGACACTGGATGCCAACCTCACATTTCATCAATAAGTACCCTGTTCATGAAAACCCAGGATCAGGGTACCTTTTTAATGGTATTGTGCTTGCTACTGGTGCCGCCCCTGTCTGAGCTCTCATTGTGCAGGACGTCCAAGGCTGTCTCCCTCTCTTTGAGTTTCAGGGCCTCAATTTCCGTCTTGAGCTCGTTGAGCTGCTCTTGCAGGTGCTTGCTCTTCTCCATGTACTCCACTCTGCAGCAAGAGGGAACCATGCATCAGAGCAGGGCAGACCCTGAGGCTCAGGACACATGTGCCATGACTTAAAAGCTGTTCAGCATGGCAGCCAGGAGCAGCCTGGGGTTCACACTGAATCTGGCCAAAGAGAAGCCAAGGGAGCTTGGGCTACCCGCTTAACTGCTATGACTCTTTCCACTTCAGTGCAATTGGGATAATAATTACAGGGCCTCTGGTCAGGACAGCTCTCAGTTCTGTATGAAGAATCACATCAAGCAGACCCCCTGGACCCCCAAAACTCGTCTGTTTCTGCCCGTCCTGAAGCAGTCACCCAAGTGATCGACTCTCCCACTTATCCTGAGGATAAAATGGCAGACACTCAGCCAACACTGAGAAGAAATAGGCCTCCGCTTTCACCTGAAGAGGTTAAAGTATTGAACAATAAGAGCATGAACAGAAGACTATTGAAAACAAATATAAGGAAACATTCTGAATGTATTGCTGCAGCCAGTGGATGGGCTCTGCCAGCCAGTGTAGGAGGTAAGTGCTATGGGCTGAATGTAGTGTCCCATTCACATGCTGTGGCCAACTCACCCATGTATTAGGAGGTAAGGCCCTGGGAAGTAATTAGTTCATCAGCCTCATGATGGAACTTATGTCCTTAAAAAAAGAAAAAGACCCTAAAGAGATCCTGACACATGAGCACACAGCAAGGTCCATCTGTGAATCAGGAAGAGGACTCTCATTGAACTCTGAGTTGACAATGCTTCAACCTTGGATTTCTAAGCCTTCAGAACTATGAGAAGTAAATTTCTGTTGTTTATAAGCTTTCCAGCCTCTGGCATTTTGTTACAACAGCCAAACACACTAAGTCAGTAAGAAAATACAAACTATAAAAAACCAAGGCACAGGACAGGATGTGGCCTTATGCTGATCACAACCACATAAACATGTACATCTGGACAACGAGAGAGGGACTCAGTCTGATGCTGGCAGAAGCGGATCTGGATCACAGTTCCTTAGCTGTTCTCAGTACAGGGATCAAAGGATGACAGCCTGATTCGTGCTGGACTGCACAGCACTATTCTGAGTACCACAGTGAGTAAGGGGTTTCAATCCTTGTCCTGCTCCTCAACAGCTATGTGATGCTGGGTGACTCATTAAACTAAGTCTAAATTGGACACTGAAACTGATTTTTGGAATCATGTAGCCAAAGATAATATTGCAATTCTGATCCTCGTACCTCTACTTCCTGAGAACTAAGATTATTGGTGTAGGTACCATGCCTGACTTATACTGTGCTGGAGATTGAACTCGGGGCTTTGCACATGTTAGGCAAGCGCTCTACCAACTAAGCTATATCTGTCACCAGTCCCTAAAACCCGCCTTTGATGCTAGTGGGATGTTTGTTAACTAATATGAGTTAAATACAACAAACACTAAAAAGCCAGACTCACGGGGCCTCTGTGATTGTTCTCTGCCAGCACTATTAACCAACTTACTTCTGGCTCAAGGGCTGAGGGGAATCTTACTTAGATTTCCTCTACCACGGGACTCCTCTCCATCTCTGCTCCACTTCCGCTGACCACAAAGTGGAGGTGCAGGGCATTTGACGGCTGGGATAGCACTGGTTTCCAGCACAGAGGAACTGGTTCCACCAGGCCCCAGGCTTTGCTCAGCCTAAAAACCCTGCTTTGTTTGTTTTTTTCTTGTTTTTCACCTTTGTTTTAGACATAGGACCCACTGCTGAAGAAAACTAGTTAAGCACTATGCAAACAACAGTCTGACTCAGGGACTTACCATGATCCAGTCTTTTCTTCAGTCAAGGTTTGAACCACTATAAATTACAGGCCACCAATCAAGTGTTGTTTTATTCTGGGACACTGACTGCTCTCCTGATCGGCGATCTTTAATTTCTAATTAGGAAAATGTGTTCTCTGGTGGGTGACAACAGAGCAAACCTTTGGGAGGGTAATGCCTGGCTGCTGTGGTGACCTCCGTGTCCCCAGACCAATCCACTCTCTCATGTTCACAACGGCCTCCAGCAAGCAGGCCACAGAGGGTACATACTTTTCTTTCTCTATCTCCATGGAAAGTCGCTTCATGTCAGTATCCTTGAAGTCGAATGACAGGCTGTCACCAATAATGTTGAAGCTTGGTATGTCAGGGGGCAGTGGTGCTGGGATTGGGTTCACGGGCTGTCAGTGAGAAAGCTCAGATTAGGAGGTTGAAAGTACACATGACGGAGCCCTCTATACTCAGTACTGCCAGGGAAGCACATTCAGAAAAGTCACTCCACTCTCCTCAGACCTCACCATTTCCATGATCATTTGAATCAAATACAAACGGGCACTCAGTTTTTAATGTGGGAAACTCCCAGGCACGGGGCTGTGAGCCGGACGCAGAGAAGACAGACTCCCTGGCTTTAAGCACATGGAAGTCTTGTTCAGGAAGCAGATGTCTACAAATTCTCACAGTAAGGTAAACACTAGCCAGGACAGGAATAGAGGCTTAGGAGGCTGGAGGGGTCACTAGGGTACCGCTTCCATGGGGATCAGTGAATAAGCCAAAGAAGGGTACCAGGCAAGAGGCATGGTGATGGGCGGTTGGTGGGGGGGTCCCAACAGGAGCACTGAGCATCTGTGGTGCCCTGTGGGGAAGCTGGTAAGAGACTGGCTTTGGACCAGAAAGGCTTTGCTCATACGTTAGGGGCTTAGATTCAGAAGACAGAGTCAGGAGGGCTTGAAATAAAGTGAGGTGAAGTCACTAGACTTGTTTTCAGGACCCTTTCACCCCAGAACAAAAGGTCACCTAACATAGAGCTCCCAGCTACCTCTCAAGTGTCCCCCATTATTTCTCCTGTTGAATCGTAAACAGTACTAATTATCCCCTGGGCCATGGCAATTTCACATTTGTGTACTCGGCATGTATCCTTCCTTCTTTTCCTCCTGGCTGCTTTCCTCTCTCTTCACCTTCCTTGTCATTTCCCATGTGCATGTTAGGCAAACTCTCTGCCACTAAGTTATACCACAACCCTTTTGCTGTCATTTTTGAGACAGGATCTCACCACATAGCCTACGCTGGTCTCAAACTGGTGAGCTTCTGCCTCAGCCTCCTGAGCACTAGGATTACAGGTGCATGTCATCATGTCTAGCAAGTTCCCCTTCAGTCTCTCGCCAAAGGCCCCTCTTGGCAAAGTGGCTGCTCTTTGCTCTTTGGCATGGTATGCACAGTGCTCTAACAGGTCTTCCCTCAACCCCAGCTGCAAAGTTCCCTCACGGTTCTCCTTTTCTTTCAATGTCTACAAGCTTCCTGAGGGCACACTGGTTTTTTCATCCTTGGACTTTTTTTTTTTTTTTTTTTTTTTTTTTTTATACCGAGTCTGGAACAGTGTGTGGGAGGAACAGAACCTCTGAACTTCCATTTATGGCAATGAGGTCTCAGGCAGGGTCTGTGGAGAGCGTCAAACATGGCTCTGAGCAGGGACATCTGGGCCCTACATATACTCTGTTTTCAAAGCTGAATCCTGGGTATATGAGTCTGCTCTATGAAAATTCATCAGGCTGGATAGTTATAATTTAGGCATATCTAAATTATCTGAGGAGGGAAGAATACTAGCTGTTACCCTTCTGGTGAGAACAGAAACTAGTATAACCTCTTTGGTAAGTATCACAATTGAACAACTGACCTCACGGTTCTATTTACAAGAACTGATTCTATCAATGCTATCACATACGTATGCAGACATTTATGTTCAGGGATGTTCAGTTGTGTTCAAAATTGCTACAGAAACTATACCAAATACCCATCTATAGGGACTGGCTAGCCGAATTACAATCCACTCATAGGACATGACGTGATTAAGAAAACTGGTGTGTTCTCCTCCAGGACACATTGCTAAAAGAAAGAGCAAAGGGAGCAATTTATAAAGTTTGCTCCAATAGATGTTTTAAACACATGCATTTCAGGTACACAGCCCAGCTGAGCCCTCAGATTATCACAGTTCCAGCTGTCACTTGAATGTGACCATCCTAGAGATCTTGAGAGAAGACATGAGCCTGACTAACACATCACGCCCAAGAGACAAATGAATGGTTTGGGGGTTGTCTGTTACCCAGGAATAGATAACAAGGACACATGGCAATAGCAAACTGCTCACATTTCCCCAACCCAAACCCTGGGCACTTCTGTCTCTGGGTCCTGAATGCATCTGTGCATGTGCACAAATGAGCAGTGTTTGTCATGTACACAACTGTGCAGTGTGTGTGTAGCATATGTGTGAACGGGCTGTTTGGGCTGTGAATACATTGTGTCCTTGCCTAGAATATCCCATCCTCTCTTCCCTGATCAGCAAGCAGCTCCTCTGTAAAACACAGCCATATCAAGCCTTTCCTGTCTCCAGAGCTGGGTTGTGGTCTGAGCACCTGTGAATATCTTCAGGATAGAGACTGCCAATTGATGGTATTATGGATAAAGAACAAGTGAGCAAAACCTTTGCAGAGCGGAGTGTGCAGAGGAAGGGAAGGGAAGTGATGTCTGCTTATCTCGTGACCCCCATTTAGTACAAGTCAGTTTCCCAGTCCCCAAACTGAGGTTGGCAGCTGTTTCTGGCACAGCAGTGTTTCATTCTGAGACTCTATATTATGGCACACAGTATATACTGACAGGTGAAGATTACATTTAGCTTGGCATTAGGGAGCTAGATAGCAAATTCTCTTGAGGGTAGAGACTGTAGTAGTCATAAGCATTCCAGAGCTGGAAACAGCCCTATGGTCTGTTATCTAAGCAACAGGAGTAGTAACTGATTAGTCAGTCCAAGGCTAAATGACAGACCAGGAGTGTCCTATCCAGGCTTTGCTTTGTCACCCTGAAGGCACTGTGAGGTGAAGTGAAGGGCTGGGAGGCTTAGGGAAGTTGCTAGGTCAAAACAGCAAAGGCTACTAGAATGAGCCAGGCTTACTGGATATGTGGGCTTGGTAGCGATTTCTAAGAGCTTCTGCTTGGCTCTTCGCTCTGCTTCTCGGGCTTCCTGAAGGTCTTGCTTTAGCTGATCGGCCTCTTTGGCCCTGCAAAGAAAGAAAGAAAGAAAGAGATGTCAGTTCCACAGAAGGGGGCAGGGAGAGTGAGTAGACTTTTACTTTACCTCCAGAGCAAGGACCTGCATTAACACTGTACATGGCGCCTACCAAGGCAAACAAGGACATTTACAGGAAACCAGACCTTCTAAAGTATTAACAGTATTCCTGGGTGCTGTTTATCTCAATGGTAAAGCTAGATTAGAATAAGGGGTAGCTGGTGGGAAACAACAAAAGAGGCAGTTCTGCAAGCCAGTACAGTGGTTTGTGCTTGTGGTGCCAGTTACCCCAGAGGCTGAGGCAGGAGAATTACTTAAGGGCAGGAGTTGGAAGCCAGCCTGGGCAACACAGGTAGATGCAATCTCAAAAGAAGAAAAATAACAAGTGTGGTAGCCCATACCTTAAACTCCAGCACTAGGAGGCAGAAGCATGTAGATCTGAGTTTGAGGACAGCTTAGGTCTACATAGTGAGCTCCAGGACAGCCAGGGATACACTCTGTCTCAAAACAAAGAAACAAACAATAAAACCAACCCAATCTCTGAAACAGGTTGAGAGTGGGCAGGGCTCAGAGACACTCTGCTTGTTTCTGGGTGAAGGGTGGGCTGGACAAAGGAGGACATCATCTCAAGCCTTTCACTGGGCCACAAAGGGCAGAATGTGAAAGAATGGTTTCTTCAGGGCTGGAGAGATGGCTCAGAGGTTAAGAGCATTGACAGATCTTCCAGGGGTCTCAGTTCAATTCCCAGCAACCACATGGTGGCTTACAACCATCTATAATAACATCTGATGCCTTCTTCTGGTGTGCTGGCAAACATGCAAACAGAATACTCTATATGTAGTACACAAATTTAAAAAAAATTGTTTTTTCATGCCCCCAGTAAAACACTTTCCTTGGGCAGGAAGAAGTCCTAACACTAAAGGCATCTGTGTCTTTGTGCAGAATCCTGCTCCATGAGTTAGGTATAGCCATGGAAGGCTTGTATAGGGGTCCAGCCCAAGAGATATGATGCACACACAGAAAGGAGCCTAGGGTGGGCAAGCATCAAGGAACCATATTCTCAGAATGACATGCAAAAAGTGGTGAAAGGGGCTGCAGAGATGGCTCAGTGGTTAAGAACACTAAGAGCACTGACTCTTTCAGAGGACCAGGGTTCAATTCCCAGCACCCACAAGGAAGCTCATAACTCTAACTCCAAGATCTGACATCCTCACACAGACACACATGCAGGCAAGACACCAATGCACATTAAATAAAAAAAAAAAAAAAAAAAAAAAAAAAGGTGAGAAAAATTGTAGTGAATGTACCTAAGTAGCTCAGAGCCAAATTCAAGTCCTCTAAATCAATAGAGCCAGAGGCTGCAAGGAATGTGTGTCAGTGTTTATCTGAAGGCTACAGGACTAGAACCATCCAAAGCCTAGAACAGTCTAAAGAGTATAAATAGCAGTTCTATCCTTCAACCTGGACACAAGCTGGAGCTACCTGGCCACAAAAACACAGCTGCTCTGTTCCCCTAACTACCTGAATGGGTACTTAGTTTCCCTTTTGAAGTAACTAATTGCCATTGATCTGCATCAAAAGGGAAAGGAACCAAGATGATTTTGTGTGTGTAGGTGTGTGTGAGCAGGTGCATTGTGGGGTATAATCCTCTAGTGCTCTCCACCTTAGTGGAGGGTCTCTCAATAAATGAGTAGTTTATTAATTCAACTAGACTGGCTGGCCAGTGAGTTCCATGGGTCAGCCTGTCTTCGCTTTCTCTCCTAACTCCTGTGTCGAAGCTGTAGACACATGTCACTGCGCTTAGGCTTCACATGGGTGCTCGGGACACAACACACTCAGGTCCTCAAGCTTGCGCAGCGGGTACTGTACTCATCAGGCCATCTCCTTGGCCCCACTTCCCTTTTAAAAAGTTATTTTATTATGTGTATGGGTGTTCTGCCTGCATGTATGTTTGTGTACCATGTGCATGCCTGATGCCCTGCCTGATGCCCATGAAGGCCAGAGAGGGTGTTGCATCTCCTGGACCTGGAATTGCAAATGGTTCTAAGTCACCATGTAGGTTCTGGGAATCGAACCCAGAGTCTCTAGAGAGCAGCCAGTGACCTCCATAAACCATCTCTCAAGTACACGCTCCCCCCCTCTTTGAAATGCAAAAAAGGCTTCTTCTCATCTCTTCAGCTAAAACCAGCCTGTGGATATGCTTAAATGTTTATTCCTGCAAACCTCACGATTAGAAGGAGGCATGACAGAAAGGTTTCCTGGGCCAGAGAACCTCCCATCCCACCAGCCTGTCAAGGAAGGAGCCTTATAGTGTGTTTCCACAAGAGAGGAGAAGTTAAGGACATTGCAACCAGCTCTGGTAGGGTTGGAACCAAGCCAGCAACCCTTTTCCAGGCTGCAGTGCCCAGGACAAGCACTCACCTCCTCTCCGACTCCTCAGCCATCTTCAGTGCCAGCACTTCCGCCTCCAGCACCTTCTGCTCCATCAGGCGCTTCTCCTCCTCTGTCCGAATGGCTGTGGCCTTGATACGCTGCATTTCTTGCTCAGCCTCTGCAGCTTTTTGTGCCAGAAGCTTGGCCTCCTCCTCCGTGATCTGCGCCTTTTCAGCCAACAGGTCAGCTGTTTCCTCAGACCGCATCTGGGAAGGAAAAATGCTCTCAGACATTGTACAAACTTATCTCCACACATCTGGTCTCTCCAACATGGCAACAACCAGTCTTTTTTAACTTTTATGTCTGCATATATGTCTGTACACCTATATACAAAGTGCCTTTGGAAGCCAGAAGATGCCATCGGATCCCCTTGGGCTAGGGTTACAGAAGGTTATAAGCTGTCATGTGGGTCTTGGGAATCAACTCTGGTCCTCTGGAAGAGCAGCCAGTACTACTAACCACCGATCCATCTCTCCAGCACCCAGGAGCCAGTCTTAATCTCCCTGCGCCTTCCCACCGAGAAACTCTGACAACAGATGACATACTACACACTAACTATTCAGCTCTACAGGCCCCATCACAGGAAAAAGAAAAAAGCATTCTAGGTAGAGAATGTGTCTCAGCTAAAGTTTATGTTTGTAGGGGAATAAGCAATTTAAATTCTGTTCTGTCCCTTTAACTCAGTGATTCAAACGCAGGAGTCATGCCCACTGCCTACTCCTGCACAAATGTCAGGAGACTATTTTCCTGCAGTGCTGGAGAATTAAATGCAAGGTAGACTGAGCATGGTGGGTATGCCTCTCCTCCAATCAGGATCAAGAGTGCAGGGTTTTCCTTGGTTATATATAATGAATTCAAAGTCCAGTCTGAGGCACCTGAAACCTGTTCCCACTAACCACGTCCCAAAAATACATGAAAATGAGTAAAAACAGAATCTTGGGCATGCTAGAAAAAGGCTGTGTCCCTTAGTCACATCCCAGTCCTAGGACACTGTTGAGGTCAGAATGGCATAACTGGCAGCTAGCAGGTAGAGGTAAGGACATTACAAACACCCCTCAATGAAGAGAACTACTCCCAGATTATGGTTGGTATTACTCCCCCAAGAACTGGTAGGACTAAAGCCAAGAAGCCGATTCAAAGGCAACTCAGTTATGGAGTTTGGTTGCAAATGAACTTCGCCTGAATTTTTCTGAAAGGAGAGGTACTGGTGTTTCCAACAGTGAAGTACATCCATGGTCCACAGGAGGCGTGACCCCACGAGTCACCTGTGACTGCACGTCACCTCCCAGAGCCCTAACCCGGGAATCACCAGAGCTTCGTTGGCCATCGTTGCTTCTTCTTTCATCTGCAGAAGCCTCCTCTCTAATTCGTCCCTGGTGCGCTCAGCCTCCTCCCGCATCTGCGTCTCTCGAGCCAGCCGCTGGCGCTCCATCTGGGAGTAAGAACAGTTCCGAGTCACAGTGCTGCAGAGACCCAAGAACGGCGGGTCTCTGGAGCCTTACTCTCCTCTGCAGATCCTTCGAGTGTCTTTACTTTAGGTAGCCTGGGTCATTCTTGTTGTCTGCCCTCTGTCCTAAACTAATTTCAGAACTAAAAGCTGTACTCCTCAGTAGGGAGTATGAATTACAGAACCCAGACTCAGTCTCTATGTGCAGAGAAAAGGGCATCCGTGCACACATTGTGATGTGACCTTACAAGGCTGCTATTGGGAGACTTTCATGGCTCTGCTCTGTGCCTGGCAGGTCTCCACAGAGGCTCCTCCTCCCCAAAACAGCGGCCCCCAAAAACTGCTCCCTGTCTGTTCAGATGAGCCACCTTGACACTGTTAGTCCCTACCCGGGCCCTTCACACAATTTCATCCACAGTAGTGCCACCTCCTCCCTCTGCTCACGGAGAATGATAGTTGCCACTCAGAATTCCACAGCAGGAAGCTGCAGTGGCTTTGCACAGTCTCGTACGCCCCATGTGGAGGCAACTCAGAGCCAGGCAGGAACACAGACCCCGCTCTTACAGAAACAGTACAAAGCCTCTACTGCCACCCCCTAGCCTTCTGGATCACAGTGTTAATTGGGCCACCTGCCAAGCTTAATAAGGAGACCAAGACTAAAGACAGGCAGTTCCCTGTGACTCCAGGGCACTGAGCCAGAAGTGACCAAGGTACTATTTTCTGCCTTAGATAACAAAATCAGGTTTAATTACTCCTTCTGCCTTCAATCCCACCTAAACTCAGTACTACAAGGCCACCCTTTCTAAATATGAGCTCCCTAAGTGCCCTGTAATTGAAAGAATCATGCAAAATAGATAAGCAATAAAGTAAGTTCTCTGATTTTCCTCTTGACCTCAGTGAACAGTTGGCAATCTGTTCTTCAATTTCTACTAAAATATAATTTCCATTATTCTCCTTTTGAAAAAATAAAAGACCAGGCTGTCCCCAGTACCCAGCCTTGTACTTTTCATGAGACCTTCACCCTAAATAATAATAATGACTTCCTGTTTTTAAGGCAGGTTAAGACTTATAAAGATTTGCAGGTGCAATCTGTCCTCTGAAAAGAGGCATCACCAGCTCCACTTGACAGATGAGAAAACTGAGTCACACAGACAAGATTTAGCTGTAAGGTCGCTATGTTCCACTGGACGGCATTTGCACTATTCCCTTCCAGGGCTCAGGGACCTTCACTCTCCTAGATGCTTTTAGATCTCTGGCTTCCAAACCTTCCTCTGCTGAAAGTGAGGTCAAAGAGTGTGCTTCTTAAAGTTGCCACTACATCCCATGCTAGCTTAGTGGCATTTTTTTTTTTTTTTTTTTTGGTCAAAAGAACCTATATCATCCCTAAATCATTAAGAAAAAGATACTGAGGCCCACTGTCCCAGAACGCAAACAGAGGGCAAGCTTACTGCTCACTGGCTCAAACTGGGCATTTCTCTCTAAAACTTGGGGCTAGAAGCCAGCCTCTCTGGGGTTCCCAAATCAGAGAACACCACAAAGACTAATTATTACACCTCTGAGCTTACAAGTCCTGAGGGGAGCCAACTGCAGCTGTAGCTACTCTATCAAACAGTTCATCCCAAACCACAATTGATATTCTCAGCAGCAAGGCTCAAATTAGCTGTGGATTTCAGTGAGCAGAAGAGTCTGTGTGCAGAAAACATCGATGCAGCTAGTCCAGTTTGCTGATAGGTACTGCCAGTACCTCCTGCAGAGGGCCAGCCATGTGTGCCTAGGTTGATCTGCAGTGAGGAAATGCAGCGGGAACCTAATCAGCATTCTACAACATGCACTGAAATGCCGCCTTGTATTCTATCACCGTCTAATTAGAAGGGCACCGACCTGGCAGAGGAGACAGACATAAAAAAGGACAGAGACACAAAACCATGCCTGGCTACCTTGTTCCAAGTCTGTGGTAAGTATAGAAATGATAAAGATCTTTTGTTTTTAAATATGCTATTAGAACTTAGTATGAATTCCCTTCAAATTTTTATTACATTTATTTATTCATATATGTAAGTATGCATGTGGCAGTCGGAAGACAATTTGTAGAAGTGAGTTTTCTCCTTCTACCATGTGACTCCCAGGCATCTAATTCGGGTTTGTCAGGTTTGGTGGCAATTACCCTTACCCACTGAGCCATCTAGCCAGCCATGTGCTTATTTCCATAGCTGACATCCCATTATCTGGGCATTAGCTAAAAAATATCCAACAGGAATGAAATAAGAGCAGGTATGTCCATAAACAGGCACACAAACAGCCATCCCTTATCTTGTAAGCCAAAAGCAATATTATCAATTAAAACATGGTCTTTAGGCCAGGTATGGTGGCACATGTCTTTAATCCCATCACTTGGGAGGCAGAAGAAGGCAACTATGAGTTTGAGGCCAGCCTGGTCTACAGAGCAAGTTCTAGGACAGCTAGGGCTGTTACACAGAGAAACCCTGTCTTGAATAAACAAAAAATAAAATAAACAAAACACCAAGCCAAAACACAAGATCTTTTGTTATTATTATTCATTATTGTGTGTTTGACTGAGTGCATGAAATGTGTGGTACGTGTCCTTTGGTACAGTGTGGATATCAGGGGAAAACTTCTGTGGAGTCCATTTTCTTTCCATTTTTCCATGGGTTTCAGGTATTAAATGAACAACGTCAGACTTGCACAGCAAGTACCTTTCCCTAATGAGCCACCTTTGCTAGCTCTACACCATGTCTTAGCTGAGCACGGTGGTACATGTCTGTGATCTCAGAATTAGGAAGCTGAGGAAAGAAAACGGTCTTGAGTTTGAGGCCTGACTTGGCTCTACAGAGTATGACAGCAGCCAGGACTACATAGTAAGAATGTGCCTCAAACAAACAAACTAGGGACTGGAGGGATAGCCCAGGTAATAGAGTGCTTGCTATGTAAACATGAGTACCTGAGTTTGATCCCTAGCACCCACAAAAAAAGTTATGCATAGTAGCATACTAGGGAGATAGAGACAGCCAGAGCCCTAGGGCTTGCTGGCTTGTCTTTATGAGTGAGTCCCTGGTCACTGAGAGACCCTGACCCAAAAAACAAAGTAGATGTTCTTCAAGAATGATAACCAAGGTTGACCTGTGGCCTCCAATATCCAGAGCACAAATACATATATACACAAACCACATGAAAGGAACAGAACCTGAAGTCTTACTCACCTGCTTTCTAGCCTTCTCCTCCCTGGCCTGGGCTTTCATCTGCTGAACTTCTAAAGAGTCAGCCTTCCTTCTCCTCATAAATAGATCATGGTTCCCAATACATAGCTGGAGAATCTGTGGCCATAGAAATAGAAAACATGGTAAGTGTATAAATCCACTTTGCTGCCTATCAGTCCACCATGCCAGCATTGGGCTGTGAGCAGCAATAAACCCAACAAAGAAAGAATGGAATAAAACACAAAAGCCCTGCTAATGTCTTCTAATGCTCAGTTCTAGAAACATGCACGATGAAGGTGCCTCAGACAAACCAGCAGATAAAACCCACGAGTGGAGAGGACACTGCATTAGTCAACAAAATGTACCCCAGTCTCCTAAGGCAAGATGTGGCTAGACAGACAGGGGGGGCATAGAAGAACAACCAGGAAGTTAGGTTGGGTCAAAGGTTATTCACATGGAAAGAAATAAGCTCACTCTCTCCCTCATACCAAAAAGCTGACTCCAGTTACAAAAGTAACTTTTATTTGAAAATACAGAGAATTTTTACATCAGGAAAAAGGAAAGATGTCAAGTAAGAAAACACAGAAGAACAAATGATTGAAGATTGGGGTGGGGGGAGCATTCAGGACAAGGTTTCTCTGTGTCACAGCCCTGATGTCCTGGAATTAGCTTTGTAGACCAGGCTGGCCTCGAACTCACAGCCTGCCTCTACCTCCCAAGTTCTGGGACTAAAGGATGCATCACCACTGCCTGGTTATTACCAAGTATTTTATGTGTCAACATGAAAGGTGAAAATTTTTATTTGCCATAACATCATAAAGAAGGAAAATGAGTCTCACAAGGAGGATAATAATAAAGAAAACAAACAACCAACCCAAGAGGAAAGTGACCAAAAGACACGAAGCAAGAATTTAACTGAACAGGAAATTAGATTTAGTCAACAAACATAAAGATGTAACTTTATTAGTAATTATAAAATGCAAATCAATATGGCAAGTGGAGGGCTGAGATATACCTCAGGTAGAGTGTTTCCTGACACGCACAAAGCCCTAGAGTTTATCTCCACTCTCCCCGCCCCCTCCCCCAAAAGGTTAACTCTATAGAGAAAGAAAGTATTTACCAAATCAAATATTTTTATACCTCTCAGCAAGATAAAATAGGGACAGAACCCTGGCAGAGTATATATGTACACATGTATATATAATATATATGTCTAATATGTATGCATGTATGTATAATTCCTCAGAAAGGTTAGTTCTCTGTCATGAAAACCAGGATCTCAACTTACCAGCTTATTAACACGAAGCTTTGAGGAGTTAAATTTGAAGACATCAATTTTCTTATCCAGTGGCTTAATAGTAAACTGAAAAAAAGAAGTATAGTTTCATATGACACCAACTGGGAATCCACATAAGTAGCAACCACACTGCCCCTAGTCCTGGCCTCCTGGTGCCCAGGAATGAAGTCTTGGTGAGTCGAGGCACACAGCGATCAAGACTGGGGCTGCAGAAGTTCATGACCCTAACCATCTTGGGTAGATGTGAGGGACTGACACTGGCAACCTGGAGTTGGGATCCAGGATGGGTCTGCTCTGGAGTCACACTGGTACAGCTCCTTGCTTTCATATAACTCAGTCTAGTAGGACTCAGTCCAACAATAGCCAAATACTCAAAAGATAACACCATATATCAGGGTTTCATTGCTGGGACATGCCATAAATATCCTAGAGGGTTAGAGTGATCTAGTACAAATGGGAGGTATTACAGCTGGTCTTAGAGACACACACACACACACACACACACACAGAGACAGAGACACACAGACACAGAGACAGAGACACAGACACACACAGACACACACACACAGACAGAGACACACAGACACAGAGACAGAGACACACACAGACACACACACACACAGAGACAGAGACAGATACAGATATACACACACACACACACACACACACACACACACACACACACACACACACGAGACACACACATGCGCACGTGTGTCAACTGTTACTCTGAATGAATGAGGAGACCAGAGAGCTCCAATATTCTAAGGATGTCCCTGGAAATGTGTCTCTCAGTTGGACATGATAACATATACCTATCATACTGGCACTCAGGAAGCAGAGGGAGGAAGACCAATGTTCGAAGCCAGCCTCTTCTATAAAGAGTTCCAGGCCAACCAGGACAATATGGTGAGACCAGCTTCAAAATCAAAAGAAACAAAAAAGCATATCTAGATCCAAAGAGTTTTATATGCATATATGAAAATGTCTTGCTGGCACCCATTACTCCGTACAATTAGCATATGCTAACAAATATTTTAAAACTGCATACACATTCTCAAGAAAGACTTATATAGCTACCCCCAGCAAAGAAGGAAAAAAGTAAATGATTGAGCCAGAGGTGCAGCTCTTGTCTGCATATGATTTCCATTCACAGGACCACTAAATATAAAACAAAACAAAAAGAATGAGTTGCTTAGCAAATAAACTTACCAGGGAAGGCAAATTCTTGGATATTTATTTACGTATTTATATTGTCCAATAAGAAATGAATATACAAAGAACAGAAAAATTCTTTGCTTAGGTTCTAACCAAGTTAATTTAATCATAGTATTGCTCTGGTATAAAACATTATTTATGAATTTCATAAGCTTATTTCTAGCCTTGCTAATGAACCCTAAAGCTGTCAGTGGGGAGCTACAAAAGTATGGAAACCACAGATTCTGTGTCATGCCAGGCTGTACACAAAGACTCAATCAACTTAAACTATTTTAGCAGGATGACTGCTATACATAACTCCCAAGAGTACCTCCCATTATGGCATGCCAAAGTAGCTTGGGTCTGCTTGCCAAGTAAGGTACTGATGAGATGGGACACTATGGTACCTTGCCCGTAGAGAGGGTATATTAGAGGCTGCTGTGTCAGGCTATACTAGGGGACCTTAATCCCTCAGCCCTCTGAAAAACAAGTATTTGAGGAACCTTTAGTTACAAGTGTGTGATGTGTAGTGAATACCCTTTGTGAAATAGGGAGGTGAAGGACTAGTTAGTTACTTTGTTAGTTACTAGTTAGTCACGTGGAGCTTCCACTCTAAGAACCTGAAAAAAGAGAACTACCAGATACTCACTTTCCAAGATAAGCAGCTATAAAACCAGCTGTCAGGACGTCTAGATTAAGAAATGTAACTGAAGCTGGGCAGTGGTGGCACCTTTGATCCTAGCACTCGGGAGGCAGGCTGATCTCTGCGAGTTCGAAGCCAGTCTGATCTACAAAAGCTACATAGAGAAACTCTATATGGAGGAAAAAAAAAAAAAAAAAAAAAAAAAAAAGAAAAAAGAAAAAAGAAAAGAAAAGAAAAAGCCAAGTGGCCTGGAAAATGGCTCAGCAGGTAAAGGTGATTGTCACCAATCCTTAAGAATGGAGTGTGATCCCTGGTACCAACATGGTTGAGGAGAGTAAGACTCCTAGAAGTTGTCCCCTGAGCTCTACACTCTCATCCTAGTACACAGTACACCCTTCCTCCAATGAGTAAATAGATAAATGTAAAAAAAGCAGCTCATTGAGTTTGGTGTGATGGTGCAGGCCTGTAACACCAGCATTTAGGAAGTGGAGCGAAGATGACTAAGTTCTAGGCCATGTAGAAAGACTGTCAGAGACAGATAGAGGGAGAGGACGATGGAGAGGGGCAAGTTCAACTTGCCTCATCAAGCATGGTTGAGTAATCTAAAGCACAGATTGGAAACAAGGGCCTAGTATTCCTTTCCTTGAGTTGCTAAAAAAGAAAAAAACAGGCAACTTGCTCCCAAGACCGGCAGACAACATAGCTATCACTGTTAGTTACTGCTACTCTGCCGTAGAAGTGCACAGGCCAGGCTGCCATCTTCTGCCTAGCATCTTGTGTTCTCAAGGTCCAGCCTCTGGGACCCCTGATAAGCAGGAAGCACTCTAGCTCCCAGTCCTTGCCACTCCACTTATCAGGCACAGGATCTCATGTATCTGTTTTCTGATGACATGATTACCAAACATGCCCCTGACTTTACAGTACCTTTCTTCTGAGGACTCGATCAGATAGCCAGAAGCAATGCACTTGTATAGAGGCCCTCCACAACCACATCACCAGCCCCTTCCACTTTACCCATTTATTTCTTTGTTTGCTTACTTATTGATGGGAGGGTGGAGTACATGCCCAGGCATACACGTGTAGAGACAACCTGTAGGAGTTCTCTCTTTTTTTTTTTTTTTTTTTTCTGCCTTATGGGTCTTAGGGATTGAAGTTGAGTAATTCAGCATGATAACAAGAACCTTTATTCACTGAGCCATCTCAGCAGCCCACACTGTATTTATATACTAGAGCAGTCAAGCCATTACTGAACCATGATTTCCTGGAGGGCTAATGCTGGTCTTTCTACATCTCTGTTTGGTACCTGGCACAAAGCACAATGTCTTTTAAAATTAATGTATAGGGAGCTAGGGTGATGCTCAGTGGGACAACAATGGCCTTGCATGTGCAAGGCTTTGGGTTTGATCCCCAGCACCACACAGTAAAGATTAAAAAAATAAAAAATACATAAAACACAGGACTGCTGCATTTGGAGAAAGCTATCATCTTATACAGAAATATGGGAATCCACTGTGGGCATAGGCTCATGCCAGCACTCTGAGTTTAGGAGGCTGAGGCAGAGTATTGCCATCTTGGGCTACACAGAAATATTTGAACCCGATGAATGTTATCTAATGTTATCTAAGTGTTCCTCAAACTTTATCTTCTAACCCTTCTACATATGGCAGCCTACTGTCTTCATTCACACCGCTGAGAGGAAAAACCACTGATGGCTATTCTTGGGTGTCAATTTGACCGCACCTGGAATCAATAAAACCCAAGCCGTCAGACACTCCTGTGAGGGATTTTTCTTCTTCCATCCTTCCTTCCTTTTTGATTATTTGAGAACTGTGTAACAATTCTAACTATCCTACAAACTTGCTCTGTAGACCAGGCTTTCCTTGAACTCAGGCCTGCCTGCCTTTGCCTCCAGTGTGCTGTGATTAAAGGTATGAGGGGTTTTTAAAATCAGATTATGAAGCAGGAAGACCCATCCTAAATCTGGGCCATATTTTCTGATGGTAGCCCACATAAAAGGACACAGAAAAAGGAAACTTTGCTTTTGCCTGCTTGCTCTCACTGTGTTGAAAGCAAGTTTATATACCCTGCTGCTGCAGCACTCCTTTAAAAATATGAGAACTGACTTCATTGGGATTATAACACTACTAAAGACCAGAAACTACCAGAAGTAGTACCAGGCTTCAACACAGATCGAGACTGTAGTGACATCTAGCCTTGTGGACTGAACTACTGCTGGATTCTCAGTCTCTCCAGTGTGAGACAGCCATTGTTGAACTACTTGGACTGCATGCTGTAAGCCAGTCTAGTGAATACCCTTTTAATATACATATTCATCCTGTCAGTTCCGTTTCATTAAGGAATCTTGACTAATACACCTACAAAATATGTTTAACTATCAACCTGGCATGGTGATTCACACCTTTAATCCCAACATTCAGGAAACAGAGCCAGACCTCAGAGTTGAAGGCTGGCCTTGTGTACATAGAAAATTCAAGGTCAGCCAGGATTACAAAGTGAGAGCCTGTTAAAAATCAAAACTACACACACACACACACACACACACACACACACACACACACACACACCTACCTTTTCCACTACATGTAACAAACAGCACATAGGTAGAAACTTAACATAGACCACACTTAAAATAGAAACAGAAAGCCAAGTAGTCAGAAATGTCCTTTTTTCTTCTTTCTGTTCTTTGGGGTTTAGTCCTGACAGGTTGAGCTGCTCACTCTCCTGTTAGTCAATAGTAGGCTTTAGCCATGTCCTTTGAAGAAAGGATGCCAAGACTGTTCTGTAAGTACTTTAAAAATCAACAACCAAAGTTCTAAAGCCTGGGAATTAAAGGACTTTCTCTGACAAGGAAATGGCCTGGCCTGTGAGCTTCGGCAAAGAGGAGAACAGGAAAGGGTCTTTTGCAGGACCACTTACCACAAGCGGTACCTGTAGTACAGACATGTCCTACCTCCTTGTCGCTGTAGGAGATGTTTCGGATTTCATTCCAAGGGAAGGAGATCTTGGGGGTCAGCCTATTCTCAGGATCATAGATATGAAGCCCCAGAGCATCCACTCCAAGCAGCAACTCTGTGCCTTTTTTATTCTGCAAAGCCAAAGAAGAGCAGCTGTTGTCAGCTTCTGGCTGGGGATTTTCTTCCACTTTCTAAAGAATCTGGCACACACTGTTACATTTGACAAGTTTCAACAAGTCCCAACAGAAATCACAGCTCTCTTGCAACCCAGGAGGCTTCCAGGTTCTGCGAAGGAAAGCAGAGGCAAAACAATACCATATTTGTGACTGGTACGTCCCCTGAGTCACTGTGGACTCAGGCCCCTGTCACTGGCTTGGAGGCTGAAGAAATGATAATTTAAATGTGTGAGTAGTAGTTAGATAACCAGATTATCAGAGGGAGAGCCGAAATCAACATCTGTACATTTCTCCCCTTCATGGTGTCACTGTTGCTTTGTGGCAGTGTTCTTGTCTGGCAGGTATAAGAGCTTAGATTTGATCTTCATCATCTCACACACACACACAAGTTGTTGGATTTCTAGAAGAAAAAAATTTAAGTCTAGGGACTAGATGATCTTATTGTGGGTTACAATGCAATCTCAATGTAGCTTTACTATACCATACCCCAATATGGCAAAATGTTACCTGCATTTTAGGGGTAGTTAGGTGTGGGTATATATGGCATTCATTGAAAACTCAATTTTCCCATATGTTTCAAAATGCTTGATAATTAAATGTTGGAAGGTAAAAATAAGTTATATACAAATTATACACAAATGGAACTGTTTAAAACACTAGTTAACTATATGAATGCTATTACACATCTGAGGGGAGTCCTGATCAGTATTTAGCACAACCAGAGGCTTAGTGCCTTGTGCCCCAAGTTACTGACCCAGCTCTAGAGCCACTGGCCCCATCCTCATAGACAGAAAGAAACTCTCTGCACACACAGGGACACTACCGCTCCTGACCCCTCGCTGACAACAAGGAAATTAAGCCAAGACTCAAGGGTAGGACAGCAGACCTGCACACTGAGAAGGTGCTTGGGCTGTGACGAGAAGTACCATCTAACAGTAGGTGTTAGATGGGGAGGTGCACGCTCTTAAGATCACTCTCTCTATTCCTTCTAACACCCGAAGCCAGGCGCTGCCACCTAGGTGTAAGAATGTTCCGCTGGTTTTCAGGAGTGAGGCTTGTGTTCTTACATCTGTACCCATTTTGGAAAATAGGGAATCTCCTTATGTGTCTGATGATTTAGTTTAAATAAAATAAAAAAAGATTCCACCCCTCTGCTGTCATTATGACTATGACACTTCTAGAGACTAGAGAGGGTAAGCACAAAATAACTCCTCTGAAATTGTTTTAATCACCTAGTACCCCATTAATATGTATAAGTACCAATTTATCAGTTAAAGTATTTTAAGCATTTATCTTCCCTAGTTAATGAGAGAATTTAAGATCTCAAGAACATAAAATTACTAAAATGTCTTTGTCAGTTGTTCAACATAAAAAACATAAAAAGTAGTCCATGCTCATCTTATTCAGGTAGAAATACTCCTATTAAGGAGAAGAACCTAGCTTTGGGACTGTTGAGTAGCTTAGTGAGTCAAAATGCTTACTGCCCCAACTTGATAAACTGAGTTTGACCCCCAGAGCCCACATGGTAGAAGGGAAGTCTAGTGCACCACCAGGAATAAATAGACACACAAACACACACAATATATATATATTTTTTCTTCTAAGTAAAATAAATTTATAAGAAACAATGGTAGTTTTTTGGGGGTTGTTTGTTTTGTTTTGTTTGAAACAGGGTTTCTGTGTGACCTTGGCTGTCCGTGAACTCAGAGATCCACTTGCCACTGCCTCCTGAATTCTGGGATTAAAAGTGTTCACTACCATCACCTAGCCTGAAAGATCTTTTTTGTTTTGTTTTGTTTTTTGGAGACAGGGTTTCTCTGTGTAGCTTTGGAGACTATCCTGCAACTCACTCTGTAGACCAGGCTGGCCTTGAACTCACAGAGATTCGCTTGCCTCTGTCTCTCAAGTGCTGGGATTAAAGGTGTGTGCCACCAATGCCCGTCGCCTAAGAGGTTTTTTTTTTTTTTTGAAGGATTGCAAAATGCTTGCTTTCTTTCTCTTCCTTTCTTCCTTCTGTCCGTCCGTCCTTCCTTACCTCCCCTCCTTCCTTCCTTAAATCCAGTCACAGAAACCCACTAATCTAATCTCAACAAAATGCATGTTAGATACAAATTAATGAAACTTTAAATTATTCAATATTTGCATGTTTACTTATGTGTGTTGTATCTGTGCATGCATGTTTATGCCACAGCACACTAAAAAGATCATATGACAATGTACAGAATCAGTTCTCTGTTTTCACCATGTGGATTCATTCATGGACTGAACTCAGGATGTCAGGCCAGACAGCAAGTGCCTCATCTACTATTCCATCTCATTACAAACAAAAAAGATTCTGCATTCTTTTTTAAAGATTTGTTTTTTGTTTTTTATTTTTAGTTACACATTTAAATGTCTGTGCACATAAGTGTAGGTAACCTTGGAGGCCAGATCCCTCTAGAGCTGGAGTTCCAGGCAGTGCGAGCCTCCCAAACTGGGAACTGGTAACTGAACTCGGGTCTTGCTGCAAAAGCAGTTATGACTCTCAACTGCTGAGCTATCGTTCCAGCCCCTACAACCTTCTGCATTCCTATAAAATACATTTCTAGGCACCTGCTTATTGTAACAAAACATTTCAGTGTGCCCTGTTTTTTTATGCAAAGAAACCCACAAAAACCTGTATTTAGGAAACAAATTAAATAGAAAGCTATCCTAGAATACTGGAGATGTGCTTAATTCAATTTACTCAGTTAACATAAAAAGGAAAGCAAAGAGTAACTGCAGCTGATCTACTCATCTGTGGCCAGGCATCTCAACAACCATCCACTAGTGAAGAAAAGTTTGGGTAACTGCATTGACTCCTTTGGAGGAAGCCAAGGATACCCTGCAACCAGCAGCCAAATACCCCAACAGGAGAAATGCATGCTCTAGAGCCAGACCTGAGCAGAACACAAATGCCTTTCTCTGCACAAGTACTGGTTCCCAGAGGCCTGGGGACCATTAATGGTCTGAATAGAAAACTAATTAGCCTCACAGTGAGAACAAAAGTTCCACCCAAACAAATTAAGAATCTATAAGAGCAGCCTTACTTTCAGTGGGCCCCAGGGAAAGACACTATTTTCAGGTGCTCCTTGGATCTCACAAGAGGCCAGAATAATCAAACATTACATGGCCAGCATTCCAACAGGTTTTTGCTGAGAAGAAAGCCAGGTCTAAGTCCCTGAAGGTACCACTGACACTTAATTACCTCTGATCTAATTTGAAGTCCCCAAATAAAAGACCAGGCCCTAGACCTGTTTTCCTCTTTTCTTCTTTACTACTGAACCATAAAAGACTCTAACTATTCTGGGATTAGGAAGTAACCTATCTGACTGTGTGGCCCTGCTCAGTCTATCTGGTAGCCAGGGAACTTGGGGAGGAGTCAACACACCCGGATTGCAAAGTAGTTCACACCATACATCTCCAGGTCCTGAGCTATCTTCAAATACTCCATTTCAGCTTCATCCCTGTAAGGAGAATGGAAAAATGCCGTTACTGGGGCTAAGTGATAAGGGTGGAGGACAGACACTTGCCAAGTATTCTGAGCATGCCTTCCTATGGATTCACGACACCTGCAAGATATGAGACAGACCAGACACCAGCAAAGCTTTTCCCAATTCAAAGTCCCCGTGAAAATAAGAAAACAGACTCATTACACTGTCTCTTGGCTTCAATTTCACACTCTGCCCTTGGTAAATAGTGACATCTGTCTCAAATGATTAAAAAAAAGAATGTGGGGGCTGGGAGTGTAGCTTAGTGGTACAGCACTCGCTCAGCACGTGCAAAGCTCTGGGTTCCATCCCTAGCAATAGCGAAAGGAAAACCAAAACCACAACATGTTATTTTCAACCCAAGATGAATTATTTAAGTTGTTGCCTTATCTCTGTGTACTTTTTTAACCTAGAGGCTTTAGTAGTGAACAAGCTTTTCTAAACACTGACAGAATCTACCTTCCTGATTCTGTCTCTTGGGGTATTGTTGAAGGTCAAGGCAGGAACTATCTGAGCCATAAAACCCAGGCCAGTGGGTGAACACTTGTCTGTTATAACTCAAACTTACAGCAATCTCTGGAAGCAGCAGTGACTTGCAGAAAACTCCCCAATAAGTAAATGTGTTGAAGAAATTTAACTCAAGCTTCCCTATGACCTTGTCCTTGTCCTTCTCTCTCTCATCTCAAAATGCTCTCAGATGGATTTTAAAAATTCACCCTGAGAGAATGCCAAGTGTTGGCAAGCAGGTGGAAGAACCAGAAATCACACACTGCTGATGTAAATTGATTCAATTACTTTGGGAAACTGTTCAACATTACCTATAACAGCAAAAACCAAGAAACAACCCCCAACAACCCAAGATCCTTCAATGGTAGAATGGATAAATAATCTGTTATACTAATATACCAGAATTCTGCACAGCCATGAAAATGAAAAAAATTATTGCTACCTGCCATGTACTCAAATCCCATAAGATGTTCTTGAGAAAAAGAAGGCACTTAATATTGAAATTGGTTGTATTTATCTAAAGTTTAAAATGAGTGATGGTGGCTAGAGATGTAGCTCAGTGATAGAATAGTTAGTTACCTTGCATGTGAGGGACCTTGTACTTGATCTTTAGCACTACAAACTAGTAATATAACAATGGTAACTGAAAACACTAGTCTATGGGAGCACTAATTAGAAATTGGGAAACTGGATTGGGAGTGATGGAGCAAGCCTTTAATCCCAACACTGAGCAGAGGCAGGCAGATTCCCACACCAGTCTGGAATATACAGCAAGTTCCAGGACTTCAAGAGCTACATAGTTAAACTTTGACCCAAGACATAAAAAGAAATTGGAAAACTAGTTATTTTTAGGAAGAAAGGAATCTGAGAAGTCATGAACTACTTCTTATCTTATTGTGATAAATAATTAAGCAGTGCACTTCTGATCTGTCCATTTTGTGGATATAAAGGGGAAAAAAAAGATACAGGAGTTAGAGAGATGCCTCAGTGGTTAAGAGCATTGACTACTCTTCCAGAGGACCAGAGTTTAGTTCCTAGTACACATATACTGCCCCACAACCAGCTGTAATTCAAGTTCTGATGCCTTTTCCTGGCGTCCTCAGGCACCAGACAAGTGCACATGACACACAGACATACATAATAGGGAAAATATAGTGAAAGATATAGTAGGAAGTTGATTTGAAGGATTGGGGTATGGGACTAGCCCAAAGATGATCAACATCTAAAGCTATCAAGGGAATACTTATAACAAACTAGAAATTTTTGTTTTAATTTTAATTTAGTAAAATTGTAGGCTGATTAAAAACAAATGTTGGAAGAAACCTAGGGTGGTGGGAACATTCTACTAACACTGGTGATGGACGTGTGCCAAAAGACATACATTTATTTATTTATTTTGTTTATTTTTCAAGAAAGGCTGTCCTGGAATTAATTCATGTAGACCAGTCTGACCTTGAACTCAGAGATCCGCCTGCCTCTGCCTCCAGGGTGCTGGGTTTAAAGGTGTGCACCACCACTGTCCCCCTACAATTATTTCAGAGAGTAATTTAGTTTCATTTGTCAAAACACAAAATGTTCATGTCCTTTGACCATTAACTCTCTTCCAAGGACCTACCCTCTAGACTTGTGCAACTATATGATAGCACTGCAAAAATGAAAAATATTCAGATATTCTAAATACCATCAATATAGACCTGAATGCAAAACAAAAGGAGGACCTTCAGACAGAATATTAAACTAGACTGCCACGGAATATTCCAGGTTTGTATATCCTGACAGGCAGAACACATGACCACTTTTAATTAATTTATGAGTTTGGTTTCAACTCAGCATCTTACACATTCTAGGCAAACACTCTACCACTGAGCTGCATGCCTGGGTTGTCATGTGCCCCTTTCATAGCAACACACAACAATAATGCATGTTGATCCACAAGCATGCCCTAGTTTTATAGTTCTTTTGGGAGGGAGGGGCATGAAAAAATGTAAACAAGGATGAAGCAGCCTCACCTGGCTCTGCCCCGGTGCTCCGCGTACCAAGCAGTAATTCTCTCCTCCCACATTTCCGGAGTCATCTGATATAGATTTATCACCTACCAAAAAGACAGCAAAAAGAAAATCCACATGCACAACAAGTCTGGGTATTTTTTGCCATTTTTATAATTATGGTTCATTTTTACAAAACAGCAAAGCTATTTTTAAAAAGCTGCATGCAGGGAGTCACACACAGAGGTGGGTGTATAAACAAGTGCCCTTCCACTGGAGGATCAACCTGCAAAGTACAGCATTCCCCAGCCCTAACTACACTCCCGGGCTGGAGTACCCACTTTTGCTTCCAGAGCTGTTCATCTAGGGACCACCTCTGACAGTAGAGCAGTACTTACTCACTCTGGCCTTCAACTGCATAGAAGCCATCAAAGGACAGGTAAAAGCAGGGAAGGGTTGGGGAAAGCCTTTATTACCCAGGGACAGATGACAGAGTGGGGCTGTAGGAAGGGAAGCAGCCTAAGGCTGCTTCTGTGTCTAATGAGTAAGATGAACAAGAATGAGGATTAAAAGCCCCGCCTCCACCTCATCTTCTCCACCCCCAACAGCTCAATTCTGCACAGCAAACACAGTCTCATGGCTCCCTTAAGTCAATGCCACCCAACTACCTTCAGAAATTGCCACACCAGAAAAATACCCACAGGCCACACACTTCCTAGCAATTCCACAGTAATTCTGCAATCTCTTGCATTTTGTTTTTTTGAAACCAAATCTCACTCTGTAGCCCAGGCTGGCCTTAACCTCATGATCCTCTTGCTTCTGCCTCTTGAATACTGGGAGTTCAGATATGAACCATTACACGCAGCAGCATCTTTGCTTTTCATATACTTGACCAAGAAAATTGAGTGCAGTGGTATACTCCTGTAATTCCGGTACTCAGAGGAGACTAAGGCAAGAGGATAGTGAGTTCAAGGCTGGCCTGGACTACAGAGCAAGAACCTGTCTCAAAAATTAGGAGCTAGACAGAGAGCAAGCTCAGTAGGTAAAGAGCTTGCTCTACAAACTTGAGGACCTGAGTTTGAATTCCCAGTAGTGCCAGGCATGAGAAGCTATTAGAAACTGATAGCATTTGGGAGAAGGAAAATCAATTGTCTTCAAATGGAATGACCACAGGGTATGTCAACCACACCCCAGGCAGCACATTTGGGAATAGTTGGCCAACACAAATTGGAATCCATTACTTTTGGTGGTTTTGTTGTTTTAAGACAGAGAAAGAACAAAGTTGGGTGAATAGGGAGGTGAGGGGAATCTGGTATGAGATAGGGGAAATGTATTGTATAAATTTTTTAAGTTATAAGCTGGGTGGTGGTGGCACATGCCTTTAGTCCCAGCACTTCGGAGGCAGAGGCAGGTGGATCTCTGTGAGTTGAACTCTGCCTTGAAACAAACAGGAAAAAAAAAAAGCCTTCAAGGAATAAATAAAAACATTTTTAAAAAGTCAGGCACAATTACGACTGTATATACATGCCTGCAACCACAGCCCTGAGGGTAGAGACAGGCAGATCCAGCCTAGCCTAAAGGGAAGCTTCCAGCTGAGAGACCCTGTCTCATGACATAAGGAAGAGAATAGAGGAAGACACCTGAAGTCCAGCTCTGGCCTCTGCATATGTGAAAGAGCACATGTACCTGCATACTCACAGGCATGAACAACACACACATACACTAATAAGTAAATATGCTTAACCAAGATTCCACATTCTTCTCACGATTATGAACTATGCAATGTGCTTGCTTTGTACTTGCAACATTCCTTCAAATCACAGCCCATTTGCTGTTTTCCCAAATACAGAATTTAATTTCTTACCCTTTTTGGAAGCAGTTCCTCTTGGGCTAAAAATCCCCGCTTGTGCACAGAGGGGTCATAGTCACCATACTAGAAGGAAAAGAAAAGAGATCTGGTGATTCAGATTCTAAAGACAACTGGCATTTCTGAACAAGGCTCAACTAACTCAGTTGGTCCCTCCTCCCAGTTCCAGGGAGCAATTCAATTCTGATGACAAGATTTCAACCTTGCCAGTTTGTTATCCTTGAATGAAAATACAAAGCTGATTACATCTATACGCAGAGTTGCAGAATCCCATAAGGGATGGATAGGTGATGTGCTAATAAGAATGTGACATTTGTATGGTAATGTAGTTTGTTTCCTAACCCTCAAAGAAAGCAGTCATTTCCAAACATTAGCTTTGGACTGGAAACAACAAAACACAACTGTGAAAGTTGTGATTAGCAAAGTGTGATAAGAGCCTTACCTACAAATGCCTCTAAGTGGCCGGTAATTGGAGCCAATTGCTAGGTGGGACCAGGGAATAATGCAGGCAATATTTTTAGTACCTTTTGCTCAAGGCTCTCAAAATTGCTTTTGGAAGATTTGATATCAATACTGTCTGTCATTCCTACTGCACAAAGAAACAAATAAAAGGTTAACTGATATAGCCAAAAGCTGTCGAGCCAGGCGCTAATGAGGCCTGCGATCTAAGTTACTTCTCCAGGAGCAACAACCCAGATACTTATTCTCTTGTTTTTAAACACTACTCATTTCTTTCCTAGAAAACTTAGGTCAGACCAGAGAATCATCCATTATCAAGGAAGGTGGCAGGGATGATGCTCGGTGGCACAGCACTTGCCTAGCATGCACAAAGTCCCAGGTTCAACTCCCAGCCCCAGATATAAAGAGACTGTAGGCTAAGCATGGTGGTGCATACCTTTAGTCCCAGCCCTCAGCAGAAGCAGCTGGGTTTGAGGTCAGTCAGGGTTACATAGTGAGACCTTGTCTCAAAGTAAAATGGAAATAAATAGGCGGGAGAGACAGAATATAGAGTAGAATATAAGCAGAAAACCTCTATCTTAGGAGCCAGCAGTCAATGGTTTCTCTTTTACATTTACTTATGTGGGGGAGGTGCAATGCCACAGTGCTTTCGTGGGGTCAGTTCTTTCCTCCCACCATGTAGGTGCCAGGGATCCAGCTTAAGTTGTAAGGCTTAGCAACTTAGCAGCAAGCGCCTTTACCCCCTGAGCCATCTCAGCAGCACAGTGGTTTATCTCTCTTCTTTAATTACAAGCTTTATTTCATTTTATGTATATGAGTGTTTCACCTGCATGTGGTATGTCTATGTCCCATGTGTGTGCTACTGCCCTTGAAGACATCAGATCCCCGGAAACTAGAGTTACAGATGGTTTGTGAGCCACCACATGGGTGCTGGGACTCAAGCCTGGTCCATCTGTAATGATAGTTACAGGGAAGCCAGTACCACACAAGGTAAAACATTTATACACATAAAATAATTTTTTAAGAAATTTAAAAGAAAAAAGATCAAATTTCTGCAAATCTAAGCTTTCTTAAATGAAAGCACTTGCCCTAGAGGACCCCAAGGAGACCTCTAAGGGCTGCTGAGGAGGTCTCTAAATAAGGCATCCTCTCTAAAGCCACAGCATCTTCACCTGTAAAGCAAGGAACAACTGTAAAGAAATCAAGGTAAGCATTTTGGGGTGGTGCTAGGTTCATTCCGGCACCCTTTGCATTACCGAGACTTCATAGCATATATGGCTGAAAGCCATGTTACTTGCCTTTCAACACTTGCCAACCAAATTTTAATGCAAAAGTAAGCAGATATGCTAAGTTAAAGTGGTAAATCAGGTCTCAAAAGCTTGCAAGATTAACGACCCCTGTTATTAAATTATACCAAGCTCCCAGCTACACTGATGGAAAATATGACTTGTGAGCGATGCAGAGGTGGGGGAGACTCTGCTGCAAGAGCTTCTTCACCGAACTAACTCAACTCACAACATTAAAGCTGCCCTGACGTCTATTTAAAACCAAAGGGGAAACGCCAGTGCTGTGGCAGTAAATATAAAAGAAAACCATACCACACTATAGATGGAAACAACTCCTCGGCATTTTATGTAACAGAAGCGTTCTGATAAGATCTAGGTGAATTTACTGTGAGAGTAAGAAAGCTGGAGTCTCAAAGCTCTGCAGCTTTGTGGGCTTGCACTTAATTTTATATTCATCACTTGGTATTCCTCTATTAAATAACATCCCCTAAATTGCCTAAATTTCAGAGCCCACAAAACCTGATCTTATACACCGGGCAGTGGTGTTGCACATTTTTAATCCCAGTACTCAGGAGACAGAAATAGGCAGATCTTTGTGAGTTGGAGGCCAGCCTGGTTTACAGAGCTAGTTCCAGGATAGGCTCCAAAGCTACAGAGAAACCCTGGCCTGAAAAACCAAAAATAAATAAAACAAAAAACCTGATCTTATACTGCCCCTTATAAACAGCTTGACTTTAAATTCAAGGAGGAGAAGACTGGGGATGTGTGTAGATCAGTGATGTAGCTTAGCATGTAAAGTGACCCATGTTCACTTTTTAAAACCAAGCAAATATCACTATCCCTTTAAGGAACTAACAATGAAGATAAAATTCTTGGGGGGGAGGTAGACTGGAGACATGGCTCAGCACTTAAAAGCATTTGCTGTTTTTGTAGGGGACCTTGGTTTGATTCCCAGCACCTACATGGCAGGTCACAACTGTCTGTGACTTCAGGATATCTGATGCCCCCACTTTTGGTCTCCTTGAACACTGCACATACATGATGCACAGACATACATGCAGACAAAACACCTATATACATAAAATAATTAATTTTTTTCTTGGGCTTGTGATATAGCTGAGCAGTTAAAGTTACCTGTTGCAGAGTCTAATGACCTAGGAACCTATGTTCTATCCTAGGAACCTATGATGGAAGGAGAGAACCAACTCATGGAGTTGTCCTCTAATCTTTACATCCATGTCTTGGTTTAAAAAAAAAGAGTTGCATCCCATCCCACCCCGTCAAACAAAATAAATGAATTTTAAAATATAAAACAAACAAAACAAAACCATCATTTGTCTGTTGAGATGCCTCCCGTTGTTAAGTCAACTCTGACAATCTGAGTTCAATCCCCGGGACCTACATGGCGCAAGGGAGAGAACTGACTCTTGTAAGTAGTCCTCTGACCTCTACATGTATGCTATGGCAGGCAAACACACAATAAATATGTAATTCATTTTTTAAAGATTATTTGGATTTCTCTGTAGAACAGGCTGGCCTTGAACTCACCGAGATCCACCTGTCTCTACCTCCCGAGTGCTGGGATTAAAAATGGGTGCCACCAATGCCCAGCATAATTAAATTTCTTTTTAAAGATCAACTTCTGCCAGGCAGTGGTGGCGCACCCCTTTCATCCTAGGACTCAGGGGGCAGAGATAGGCAGATCTTTAAGTTAAGGCCAGCCTGGTTGACAAAGCCAAGTTCCAAGACAGCCAGAGCTACACAAAGAAACCCAGTCTCACAAGACAAAAACAACAACAACAAAACCCTGCTCTTTGCTGCTTTGGGGCTGGGAGTAGAGCTCTGTGGCAGAGTACTTACTGACCTGAGTCTGATCTCCAGTACTACAAAACCAAAAGTTCACCATTTATTTACATTCTGTAAGTCTTTTTTTCCTATTTTCAGGAAGCTAAGTGTTTGGGTATCTCCTTTGTTGCCCAGGATATCCTCAAACTCCTGGATTTGACAATTCTCTTGCCTCAGACTCTTTCCAGGTATTAATTTCCTCTCTGTATATACAATGGGAAAAAAAAAAATCAGACCAACTGTTCTAATAAAGTTTGTCATTTGTCTTTCTTCCTTTCTTCTTTCTTCTTTTTTATTTTTTCAAGTCAGGGTTTCTCCGTGTAGCTCTGGCTGTCCTGGAACTCACTTTGTATACACAGCAATCCTCCTGCTTCTGCCTCCCAAGTGCTGGGATTAAAGGCATGCACTACCATGCCTGGCATATATATATATATATATTTTCTTTCTTTGTATTCATCTGTGTAAAATAGATTCCCACTACTAAATTCCGTATGAATCAAGGATTTAAAACCTTATAAACAAACATCCATAGAGGTACTAGATGAGAGGATGGTCACAATGGTGGTTGCTGAAGTCATTCCCAAGCCTGGCACAAAACAGCAGACAAAGGTTGCTATCATTATAAATGAGCTCCTATAAATCAATCAGAAAAAGACAAGAACACAGTAGAAAAGGGGCAAGTCATAAACAGCCACTGCAGAATAAGAAGGAACAAATGGCCAGTTAACCCCAGAAATGCTTAGTTCCATTGCAAATCAACACATTAAAAACAAAAACAAAACAAAAAAAAAAAAAAAACAAACAAAAAACCAACAAACTTTTTTTTGAAGCAGGTCAGCAAAACTTCGGAAGATTGCTCATATCTATTGATGGAAAGACATTCAAAAGCAGGTATTCTCACATACTGCTGCTGGAAGTTAGATCAGAACATACTCAGAGGGCATTTATGTAGCATTTGAGGAAAAATTTACCAACATGAAATTTATGGGTGGTCTGACTGTATAGTCCTAGCTGGCCTGGAATTCACTAGGTAGACCAGGTGGGCAGGTCTTGAGCTCACAGAGATCAGCCTGCCTCGGCCTCCTGACAGCTAGAATTAAAGATATGTGTCATGCATGGACTGTTTTGGTTTTGAGACAGGGTCTCAGGTAGTGAGCTCACCATGGCCTTAAACTCAAGTGCCCTACATAACAGACTACACACACATAGCACCACTCTCCATTTGTATGTTGCTAGTGACAGAACCCAGGGCTTGTTGTATGCTAGGCAAATACTCTACTAACTGAACCACATCTCCAGTCCCCTCCTTGACATATCCAACCACTGCCTGAAGTGGAAAGCTTGATCTCTGACTAAACAATCACTAGAACTTTTTAATACATCTGTTTCTAGACTTCTCTCACTCTGTAGCCTTGGCTGGCCTGGAATTGCTATGTAACCCAGGCTATCCTTAAACTCAGAGACCCATCTACTTCCCTGGTGCTGGAATTAAAGCCTTACTGAGTTACACTGAGCACTGATCTGTTCTTTACATAGCCACCAAAGGTTCTATGCAAAATATAGACCCTTGACTGCCTCAGCAGCACCCACAGGCTAGTGGTAAGACTTCTCAGGATCTGCTCCCCTAAAGAGCTTTCACCTTCAACCCTTGCCTCTGTACTGTTTTTATGTGTACTTAATTTCTTACTGAATTGCTTTTAGCCACTGTCCCTGTCAATTTAGAGTACTAAGAGACACTAAGCGTGTCCCACTGTTTTTGTTATTTGTTTTGTTTTTGAAACAAAGTCTCTGTATGTAAACCTGGCTGTTCTAGAACCTGGCAAGTAGACCAGGATGGCCTCAACACTCAGAAAGATCCTCCTGCCTCTGCTTCCCAAGTGCTTCGATTAAAGGTGCATACAAGAAAGCCTGGATAGAGTCATTTATTTTTACTTTATATGTATCATATGAGCCTTTGTGAGTTAGTATATGTGTATCACATGTGTGCAGGAGCCCTCAGAGACCAGAAGAAGGCACTGAATCTCCCAGAACTGAAGTTACAGGCAGGTGTAAGCTGCCATGTAGGTTCTGAGAAGCAAACCAGGTCTGATTCAAGAACACTAAGCACTCTTAGCCGCTGAGCCATCTCTCCAGCTCCATCTTCCACTACTCTTTTCTTTCTTCTGAAAGAGCCTACAAACAGCACCAAGATAGCCTATTCTCTCCTAGTAATTTTCAGTAGGAACACTTCTGAAAGAAAAAAAAAAGCATATTTGAAACAGCAAATTGTCCATATAAAATCCAACAGGTGTCTTAAAAATTACAAGATGGTTTCAATTGTCATGTGACTTATCTGTTCTTTTGATTATAGCATTAACTCAAACAAGAACCAAGAAATATGGTTCTTGTTGACTGAACCATGTGATTAATATTTGTATTTATACTTTGAAGTTAATTGTTTCTTTATGCTTTGGAATTAAGTGTGTCTATACTGTTCCAACAGCTGAAATACTGAAATGAATACATTTGCACTCAATTATGTCCCATGTGTTAATGAGCTCGATTCCACTTCCCCTCCATACTGCTAGAGTTTCTTTCTATTCAGAAAGGCTAGGAAGAAAACAAACTGTAAACAATGGAAGGAGCCAGTATGGCTTACTGAAAAGTTCAGGTTGATTTTATTTGTTTATTTTTATTTTATGTGCTTTGCCTTCATGTATGTCTGTGTGAAGGTGTTAAGAGCCCTTGGAGCTGGTGAGCTGTGTGTGTGTGGGTGTGAGTGTTGAGAATTGAACCTGGGTCCTCTGTAAGAGCAGTTAAGAGTGGTTAAGAGCCAGTGCTCATAACCACTGAGCCATCTCTCCAGCCCGGAGGTAGTTTCATCTTGTAAATGAAACTAGAATTTAGTGAAAGTTAGTGCCTGACCTCCACACACCTCACTAGGCAATGAGGGACAGGAACAAGGTGCTGGGTCAGGCAGCCCAGACACCTGGGTTTCCAGCCTGGCTGTGCCCTTCATCCCACTGTCTCCACCCTCACGAAGAAGCAGGTAACTAACTGTACATTAAAGCACCTGCCTCACACGCGTAAAGCTTTGGGCTCTGTCCCTTGCAACATGAAAACAAAACACAAAACAAGTGGTTTACACATTTCATAAGTACAGAAATAACATAAAAGTGCTGTGACTTTGAACAAACCATTAATGTTTTCTTCTCCTCCTCCACCCCTCCCCTGAGATAGGGCTATCCTGGAACTCACTCTATAGACCAGGCTGACCTCAAACTCACAGAAATCCACCTGCCTCTGCCTCCCAAGTGGTGGGACTGAAGATATGCACCACTATGCCCAACTCATTCATCTTTTTTAACCTTTAATTTTGTCATCAGGAAAACAAGCACAAGCCTTGGCTTCTAAAAAATACCACATGGAGTATCTTGTGAAATAGACTGTTGAACGCTTTGCTAAACATTATGGATATGCTCATTCAGTCCATTCTAAATATCCTCTCACTATTAACCAGCAGTCCAAGACACTGGTAGCATTGCTACAGTAACCCCTGGTTTCCTGAATGCAAACGGGGCCTCACTTTACAGCCCCTGCTGTCCTGGAACTCACAGGGATCTGACTACACTGCCTAGGATTAAAGGTGTACACTGCCATGCCCAGCCAGAATACAGACTTCTTTATTTTATTTGTTTGGGGTTTTTTTTGTTTTCTTTTTTGTTTGTTTGCTTGTTTGTTTGTTTTTCAAGACAGGGTTTCTCTGTGGCTTTGAAGCCTGTCCTAGAACTCACTCTGTAGACCAGGCTGGCCTCGAACTCAGAGATCCACCCACCTTTGCCACCTGAGTGCTGGGATAAAAGCATGTGCCACCACTGCCCAGCCTGAATACAGATTCTAAAAGCTAGTTATTACCTTTATTTCTAAGATTCCTAAATTTAACACCGGAAAAAATAGTTAAGAGCACCCACCTCCATCCATATGAGCCACATATGTTGTCTGTGAATCACTTTCATCTCCAAATTGGCAGAAGCCAAATAAGTAGGGCTTTCCTGCAGTGAAATCTGTTCAACAAACATCTGCCGGTTCCTTGAAAAATGATCCCCACCCCTCTGTCCCCATGCAGGTGGCCTTTGAATTTGTGACCCAAAACCCACAGCCTCTGAGAGTGAGGTAGTATCCTTGAGAGCCTGCATCTCAAATCGGAGAAAGCATGCAAGAAGGAACTCAGCTCTAGGCCAAGAAGCACATGGGTTTAATGGAAGTAATGATGACTGCTTTGTCACCATTAGGACTAAAAGGATACATTTTTCCTGTTACTAATATTCTTGATCAAAGCATAGAAGGAGCATATGCTTTACTTGAACCACAGCCCATTTTCTGTTTTCTCAATTACTCCTTTTTCAAGGAAGACATAAAACACAACTCTAAAGCCATAAACTCTGTCTCGAGCTTTACCCACGAAGGTACCAATGACCTTGGAGAATCACTGAGGGCAGAACTTGCTCTAGTGCCTGCGTCTGACAGTTAACAAACCTCGTGTCCATGCCTTGTGACTACTCAGTAGACACTAATGAGTCACCAAATGATTAAAGTGACTGTGTGCTTCTACTGGCCTGACCAGCATACACACTTCGAAGTCCTTTTCCCAACCCAAATGACAAGCAAGTCATTCCTGGCTTTGATCTGAAGTTGTATTAAAATGTGATTGCGGTGGGAAACCCAAGGGTCATGAAACATTCTAGTTGGTCTTAGAAGATGGGGCAAAGAATGATGCTCTTCTGCCACCACCCCTGGTCTGCTGTCTAAATGAGGGTGAATGACTTTAGGCTAAGGAGACAGCATCACTGAGTCCAGCAGGCTCAGCAGACTCAGCTCCCAGCCATATGTACAAAATCTGCCACCTGGGCCTCACCGGGAGTGTGGTTCCTAAGAATGTAGTCTCTGGAAAGATGAGTTTGGATTGAGAATCTGGGTCTTGCTGACTTCAAGGTCTCATTTGATCATAATTAGAGACCACAAAGTCACTTTTCCTAATAAAACGAAGCTGATGTGATGAATGTAATGAACCACATGTGCATAATGAGATTACACAGAAAATTCATCTCATTTTTGAATGAATTCACTTAGAATGAATTGTAAGTCATTAGAATGATATGCTTGTCACTTGTATAAACAACACACACATACAAAACACACAGAAGTTGAGGCAGCAACAGTAGATGCCCCAAGTCGCATGACATCTCATTTTTGGGAGCAAGTCCCCCAAATCCAAAGGAATGGAAAACTGGGTCCATGCTGTGACAGTTAACGTTGAGGGAAAATGCATTTTTCTTTCCTTGCACCCACCTTGGCTTGGACAGCATAGGAAGCCAAGAGCACCGAAGCCTCAGGAGGGCAGTAGATCTTTTCATCCAAAATCTGCTTCTTCACCTGAAAGGGGCATTCAAAGAGATGAGATGGCACCTGTGGAGGACAGCAGTGCCGCCTGGTCACAGCAGATGGCTGCAGGGTATTCTAAATGGCGGCTGCCAAAGCAGCCTGCTAATGGCTTTCTGAAAAAGGGTACTTTTTTTTTAGTTGACAGTTCAGCCACCAAGAGATTATCAGTGAGCTACGTGCAGAGACTGACAGGGGGCCGTGACTAAGGTAGCTGCACTGGGTCTCAGTCTTGGTGCTTGTGGAACACTCATGCTACCAGAGATGGAGCCTACTTTCAAATCTTCACACAAGACAAAAGTCACCAAGGCCACTGAATAATGACTATAGAAAAAAGTCACCACTTCCAATGCGCTGCTCTAAGGAAAAAGGAAGCAATAAAATTTGATTGATTCAACTTTTAAGTACACATGAGATTCAGGAAATATAATTCCTAAGCCATAATACTGAATTTCCATATCTCATTGCACCTAATTCCGTATAGTGCTTGGTGCAGTGTATGATGTTCCAGACACAAGGACAAGAGAGCCACATGAAGTGGGGTGCAGCAGGCAAAGCCAACTCTTCACAGATTCCTATTAGTAGATGCTGCCTTGCTTACTCACAAAACAACCTAACATTTCAGAATGAAGGGAAACTAAGCAAAAGTACAGGGAATAGGTATTGCCTCAAGCCCTCACAGGAAAGCCATTCCTCTTAACACTACGGTATTCTGGTCTCCTGTAACTGAAGATGACCCTGAACTTCTGACCCTCCTGTGGATCACTAAAGTACATTATGCTCTTTATACAGCACTGGGGTTGGAACCCCAGGCTTCATGAATACAAGGCAAGCATTTTACAGACAGTACGTTCCAACCCTTAAAGAATCTCCGTGTGGCTTCATTCACACATACATTCCCTGCACACACCCCTATCTGGCTTTAAAACTAAGAAAAAATGAAAGCAGAGATGTTTTGAAGCAGTGGACCCTTCAAATCTCCTAGTTTCTTTACAAAGAGATAAAAGAAGCCATAATACAAAAAAAATCTGAAAGGAGCTACCTTTTGACCTAAAACATGTACACATGCATGCAGGCTTGCACGCATGTAACTCCTTTGTAAAAGAAACTATTTAGCTAGGCATGGGACACACATCTCAAGATCTCAAGTTCAAAGCCAGCCTAAGCTATGGAATGAGATCTTAACAGCACAACACAGCATTATATGGACGGTAATACACATTATATAGAGGCTCCATATTATAAGGATTGTGTGAAAAATCATAGATGTACATCTAGGAAATCAACGTGTTTAATGCCCTGTTATAATCTTTTATATCATGGACAATGGGGCACCTTAGGACACATAAGCAGCTTTAGTATCAATCGCTACAGATAGCCATGAAACTGAGGAGGCTCCCTGACTATGACAAAACAAGGTTTCTCTCCTTCAGTGAAGCACCTCCCTGTGCTCCTAGATGGTCAACCTGTAATTCTGGAAAACCTAATTTCTTCAGTTTGGTTGAAGGATTACTCAAGAATACCAACCACAATGAGCCTATCTTTAAGGGGCTTTCATGCTAATGAAGGAGGAGAGGACAATATACACCGACAGTAGCACAGAGCAGGCTGTCTGAAACACCTTAGGCATGGGACAGGCCAGGAGTCACCACCATTCAGAAGACCTGCCTTGATGATGGGAGATCTTCAACTTTAAAGGAACTTTTTTTTGCTAAGTCTCTGAAGTTTTTCTTTATAGCCTCAGAGAACTTTCAAGTTAGCCAGAAGAAACTGGGATCCATGTTCATGGAGGTTTGTATATTGGTTAATTCCTTCTGTCTATTTTTCATCACACATCTGCAATTTCATCTGACAGCAATTCTCATCTCTTGGGTAAAGTTCTATTCTGAAGATATTCCCATCATTGAACCAAAAGGACTGATTATTTGGAGGTAGAACATTTTCTGCAGCGTAGGAGCATTTATGGTCAACTCCAAGGGGTTCACCTGGGATGCTTCTGCAACCATACCCAAATAAGTCCTCTTAGAACTAGGGGATATAGCATTGGCAGGCATACCTGTAAGAAAAATAAGTGTTGTGTGATCTCTTGAACTAGCTCCTCCTCAGCATTTTCGGGATAAAATTTGGCCAGGAAATGAAAGGTAACTGGTTCATCCTTTGAAACATCATGATCCAACACCTGCAGAATTTCAGAGCAAAAGACATGCTGTGCTGGTTTCTCTTCATGTACTCTCATCAGAGCATGCTTTGCAGGGAAGGCATAAAATCCCTTCCCCTGTTACATTCATCCCATTTCCAGGCTGTGTTTCTACAGTTGGAAGTATTCACAGAGTCATCCATAGCAGGAGATAACATACACTTCACACATGGGCTTCTGAACCAAACCAATCAATAAACCCAACCAAGGGGTGAACAGAGCTACAGTGACAGCACCAGTGTTCTCAAAACCATGGGAAATAGTTACAAGCTAGAATGCATAACTCAAAGGTCTTGGGCATTATCCTTTATGGAAGACAGGATTTACAAAGTTTTTTGTTTTTGTTTTTGTTTTTTTTTTTTCCCCTGCAATAGTAATATCTTCCTTTATTCTTTGCTACTGCCCACTTGAATAGGTTCTGCTGGAATACAACTTAAACACAATAAACTAGATTTTTGTGATATCATTATATTATGAATACTAGAAGTGAAACATGGCCATCATGGCAATGCTTTGTTCCTGGAATCTTTCAGAGATGGCCACAAAATATTGCAGTGCAGTAAGAAAACCACTGCCTTTAATCTTCTAACAATCCCACCCACCCCCTGAAAAGCTTGGACCATCTGCTCTCCAGAGTGAATTTCATTTCAGGACATAAACATGCTACCAGGCTCCATTAACATGTGTCATAATTTATTTCCTTTGAGCAGCAGGTTCTATGACTCCTGATGCCCCCAATCTAATATCCATTTGGCTAACATTCAGGTATGATTTAAAATTCACTTTGCTGAGAATCATAAAAAAGACACAGAAAGCTTTGCTGTCTCAGATATACAATTCTCCATATGCCGGCCCAAATTCCAGTGGCAGCCCCCAAGGGACTCAAAATAAGTCTAATCTAGTTGCCCTCCTCAGCACTGTATCTTTGTGGCATTTGGAGTTTCTAACCATTGGGAATGACCATTGAAAACTGACAACCAACAGGAGTTGTAAGCATGAGGAGGTAACTATATACATGTTGTAAATACAATTTGAACATCTCACTTAACACTAGGACGGTGACACTTTTGTTAGTTACCACTTTATGCAGTAGATAACTTCAAGGGCAAATGACAGGGGCACCATTTAGGATCAGAATTAGACATGGAGTTACTTCTGGAATCCAGGGTCTTTTGGCCCTGTTCTCCAGCTGTCTTCACTATTAAGTGGCCAGGAAAATAGATAGACATGTCTTTGTGTGAATATATGAACCCATAAATGGGCACCTTCCCTAAGCCATAGCCATTTTCAAGCCACCTTCAATTTTCTAGAAACTTAGATTTCATGTGCTTAAGAAATCCCAGAGAATCCTGAGGAGGAAATGGGATTGCTCCTTCATCTCAAGCTCTTCATTTAGTCAGTTGAGTCTTGGTGTTCTCAAAGACTTATTTAAAAAAAAAAAAAAAAAAAAAAAATGACCATGAGCCCTAGGAGAATCTCTCAAAGACATGAATTGTTGGGGTTTTTTTTGGAAGTATACAAAGACAGTAATGTCATCCATACCCCTGACTAGTGGCTCAATACACTGAAGGACATAATGACAAAAAGCAAACAAGGCAGTAACAATGGGCGAAAAGCTAATCGTGGTTCAGTCCTGGTGAATCCTGCTCGTCTGGGAGAGTCTGTGCAGAGCATAAATGCCTGTAGGACTTGCTTCCTACATACATGACTTAATAGAAAAAAATCAGCCCTTTCTTTACCATGGCCTTGTGATACCCCAACAAAAAGCAAATAAGCCGAGTGCATGCTTGGGGAAACAAAACAAAACAAAACAGAAAGCACAAGGCTTCCCCACTGATTTCACGGAGATCTAGTCCAACCTTCTTGTCCATTTTGAGCCAGGCCACAGTGTCCTTGATTGTGTACTGCAGTCCAAAGAACCAGGTTTCCCGAAGCCCCAGCGTCCGGCACACCAAGTCAAACAGGTCCTTCCCTTTCCATTTCATCTGCAATATAACAAACCAAGAGGGAAGGACGTTGTGAGCAAAATCATAGTCAGCTCACACATGGGAGTGTTCTCAGCACTCTCTACTGTCAGCAAAATGGCCGATGAGCCCTGAACTCCTAAATAATTTTAAAGCTTCCCACACAAAACCATGAGTGGGAAAATACCAATTAGAGTTTAATGGCTCAATTGCTGCAGAGCACACACAATACCTCCTTGGACAGTTCCGTACAGATCTCAATATCCCGAAGCTGCTAATTTAGGAAACCGGGTAAATAAGCAGCCTCATTTAGGAGAGTCAAACCTCCTAAATTAGCCCAGGAAGATGGCTAGTTTGTGAGACACTAACTCCCTTGAGATTTGGGGGGAGGGGGTTGTTTAAGTCATGACTCTGCCTTTTGATAAAAGGTAAGTATTCTTTAATTTAACTAGGAAAAAAAATTAAATATATGGGAGTTGTAGCTAAAGCCACAGAAACTGTGGAGCAGAAGAACAATGAGAAATCAGATGGCCAGCTGCAGATCTCTATCAGGATGCCTGGTTGGGCCCAGACAGAAGCAACCTGTCCACAAGCACAAAAGGCAATTCCAAATGCTCACTGCAGCCTCACTTTCAAAAGCCCCCAGACACTGCTAACCCTCTAAACCTCTGCTATTCAATGGTGTAGCTGGAAAAAGCAAGCTCACACATCTTCACAGCGAACAGAGGATGCGATGAGGGGCAGCTGAGTAAATGTTGCCACCTAGTGGCTTTCAGTCAGCTATGTTTTCCTGTATCACTTCTTAGCCACGCTTGCCCAGCTACCCCATATATCAAACCCTTGAGTACAGTTGTGATCTTATGAAACATATGCACAAGCAATCCTGAGATGAGAATGTAAGGGGATGATGATAAGGACCCTGATTGTAGAAGGAGCTGTCCTTCTCTCACACTCATTAGGAAACCTCCACCCTCCAAGAGGCAATTCAGTAAAGTGCCTCTCACTTAAGCCTGAGAACCTGGGTTTGAACATGTAAAAAGTTGGTTGTGAGCCTGGTGGTGGTGGCACATGCCTTCAATTCTACTACTCAGGAAGCAGATCTCTGAATGAGGCCAGCCTGGTCTATACAATGTTTCAGGACAGCCAGGGTTACACAATGAAACCCTCTTGAAGCACACACCCCCCAAATAAATTTTGGTTGTGGTAGCCCATTTTTGTAATCCAGCATTGGAGAGGGGTAGGGTGGAGTGGAGCTCATTTGCCAACCAGCCTAACCTAATAAAAGAACCCAGGTCCCAGTGAGCATCTAGCTTTAAAAAAAGAGAAAAAAAAAGAAAGAAAGAAAGAAAGAAAGAAAAAGAAAAGAAAAGGGAGGGAGGGAGGGAGGGAGGGAGGGAGGAAGGAAGGAAGGAAGGAAAGGGGCTGGAGCAATGGCCTAGCGGTTAAGAGCACTGGCTGCTCTTCCAGAGGATCAGGGTTCAATTTCCAGCACCCACATGGCAGCTCACAAATGTCTGTAACTTTTGCTCCAGGGGATCCAACAGCCTCACACTAATGCACATAAAATAAAGTTAAATTAAAATTTAAAAAGAAAAAGGGGACTGGAGAGATGGCTCAGTGGTTAAAAGTACTGGCTGGTCTTCCAGAGGACCTGGGTTCAATTCCCAGCAACCACATGGTGGCTTACAACCATCTGTAATGAGATCTGGTGCCTTTTTCTGGTGTACATGCAGATAGAGCCCTCATATAAATAAGATAAGTCAATTAATCAATCTTAAAAAAAAAAAAAAAGGAAAAGAGCCATTGATGGTGGCAGAGGCCTTTAATCCCAGCATTCAGGCATTACATAACAGCCAGGAAGATCTCTGAGTTCAAGGCTGGCTATGGAGCTAATTCCAGGACAGTCAGAGCTACACAGAGAAACCCTGTCTCCCTCCACCCACACACACAAGATAAATAAGTAAAATTAAAATCATGAAAAAGGTGAATGGCAGCTGAGGAACCAGAGACTGACCTCACCTCAATGTTTGTGTAGGGTGTGTGCTGTGTGCATGAATATGTGGAGCTCAGAGGACAAGCTGGTGGAGTTGGTTCTCTCCTTAGACCTTCATATGGCTCTGGGGACCAAACTCTTATACACAGGCTTGTACAGTTACCCACTAGCCATCTTGCTCATCCTTTTACCGTTTCCCCCACCCAAGTGCTAGGGATCAAACTCAGGGTCTTGTTCTTCTTAAGTAGTCTACTATGGAACCATACTCCCGGCTTTAATAGATGTGAATGAATAGAGCCCTCTTCAGGTACTCAACAGGAGAAGCCATCTCTGTGTTTGCAGCTAGAGTCAGCAACCCAAATGGTAGGATTCCATGATCACAGCACATAAATGGCATACTGGCTTTGGTCCTTTGGCAAGCAAGGTATTTCTCTATCTGTCCTGCAACCTTGAGCCCACACCCCTGACTGTAGTCAGGGCCCTGGAATACTGACTGCAAACATGGAAATCTTTAGAGGTATCTGAGTCAGAAAAACTTTTATTTTAAAATATAATTGCTTTCCCCCTTTTATAAGGCTGGATAATAGGTACACCCATTTGACAACTGGACAGAGGGCTATTTAATTCTTGGAAGGCCTTAATTCCTATAGGCAGACTTAACTGAAGAAATGTTATTTTGGAGAACTGGGAGCTTCAGGATGCTGATTATCCTCTTGTCTCTATTTTAAGCAGCACACAGTATATAAATTATAAATGCCTACCTTGCCACAAGATAATGTGCCACTAAAGAACAGGCATTAACTTGGAGAAGTTAAACACCAGAGGAACAAGAGGATAGGAACATCACTCCCAAACCTCCATAACTCACAGCCAGGCCAGGCCTTGGCACAAAATGCTGTGAGCAAGCAGGATGAGTAGAGCCCTGGAAGGAAAGCTTCCACACGGGGAGCTGAAAACCTTACGTAGCTTTCCTGTCCCCCTCCACCTCTTTGTTTTTAAATCGCAGGCCTGTTTTTTTGTTAAAGGCAAAAAGACAATGTCATTGCCCCCATGGAGCTCGAAATAAAGTGAAGAAATGATTCTCAGAACAATCCAGAATTCCCTACTTATATCTTAACATTGGTGCAAAGAATCACTGACTATGGGGGCTGAAAATGAGCCTTAGGAGTCACCCACTGTGAATCTATGCCTTTTGTAAAACTGAGTAAACTAAGTCACCAATCCTTTGGCAGTCCATCAAAATAAATACTGGCCTGTTTTTTCACAGTGACCCAAGGTAGACAAACCCCCTTTTCCAGTTCTGTGACCATCAAATCTTTCTGCCTCTACCTTGGCCAGTAAATGACCACTATTAAAACAGAACCCCTCTGAGAAGAGTCAGACACAGCTCATTCACTGCTCTGTTCACACACTGCTCTGTCTAAAGGGTGCAATGGTGGGGGCAGGGAGTCTGTGGGAGAAAAAGGCAAGAACTCAGGTCAGAGGGGACTTGAGAGTGAGGGTTCAATGACGGAGGGAAGGAACTCTATCTTAATAACAAAAAAAAACTGTGGTCGTTACAGGGGACTGCAGTCCATGTGATGGGACTGAAACTGAGAAACTGAGAGCCAGCCTCAGGAGTGGGAGATGCAAGCGGCATTTGCCACTGGAGCAGGTGGCTCAGGCTTTGAGGACTCGTCTGCTTTATGCCTGCATTCAAATGCCAGGGTGAAGAGTAAGTTTCAGGGAAGGACAGTTACAGGACAGACAGGAGCACAGGGCAGGCGACCTCCTCCTGTCATCAAGAAGGCAGAGGGAAAGAGGCTGAGAAGCAGGAGGAGGCAGTCTTCGATCCAGCACTTCAACAGGCTAGAGAGAGAGACTCAAAGACACCTACCTGCATTTCCAGCTTGAGTACCTGATATCCCACCAAAAAGGAGAAGGAATAGAAGGAAAAGAAGAAGAAGGCAGGCAGGCAGGCAGGCAGGCAGGCAGGCAGAGATGGCCTAAATATATTTAGGTTTCAACCCTCTAAGCTGGGGAGTTGGCTCAGCTGCACATGCCACCAAACCTAACAACCTTAGTATTCCCTGGGACCCATGTGGTAGGAAAGAGCTGACCCCCACAACAGTTCATCCTCTGACCTTCATATATGTGCTCCCACACTGACACAAAGTAAATGCATTTAAATATTTTTCAAAGATTTAAAGACTTTCATTTATAAAATAAAGCATTCTAAGGTTAAGGGGAAGATCTATTGAGCCCAGGAGTCCAAGATAACCCTGCGTAATACAGTGGGACCTCATTCCAAAACAAAAGAAAATGTTTTGTCGCTGTCTTTAAGCAATTAGTAAATTTTTTTGGCCAGACATGCTGACTTACACCTGGAATCCTAGCACTTGAGAGGTTGAGGCAAGAGGCCAGCTTTAGCTATATAGAGGGATTCAAAAAACAAGCAAGTAAACAAAAACAAAACAAAAAGACCTGGAAGATTTCTGGTTGGCTAAATGTAATCTCCACATGTTACCTATAAAAGTTTGTGCTTTTCAACATGTTCTTCCTCAAATGCATGAGGTTTCCTTTGTCTTCTGCTTCTCTATAAGCAGACTATTGGCCACGGATGCTCTAGAGAGTTTTCAAGTTCCTGTGAAAGGGAGGCTGGGCTTTCTTGGTGCAAGGTGGCTTGCCTGAACACGATTGTTTTATGTTATGCTGATGTTCTGAAGTGACTCATTGTCATCTGAAGGTCTCTCCAGCCTGCAGGCACCTCTAACTAGGCGCAGCATTAGTCATCATCCCCAGTGTCCAATGGAAAGTATACAGAATACACAAGACACTCAACAGCAGGTGTCTGACACGATTGACTAGATGATTTTAAAACCCAAGGCTCAAAGGCTCAGAGCACAGTTATCCCATACATTCACTCCTACAAATGTACAGTGAACACATATTGTGTTCAAGTACAGGGGTTCAATAGGGAAAAAGGAAAAGCCTTCGCATTTATGTTTTTTTTTTTTTTTTTAAACAGAAGTCAGCCAAGAACAGATGA